CCCAGGTCTCCCGCATTGCAGGCAGATTCTTTACCAGCTGAGCCACAAGGGAAAGCCGAGTGAAATCGAATAGCTTACACGGAAAAGTTACCATCATACCATCATTGCTCATTTTATATATTAATCACTAAAGTTGGAATTGTTCTGAAGATAGATCTACTTTATCAAACCTTTCACAATAACCTGAGATTAAAAACTAATAACTGTAAAGACATTTGATTAGATTATGAAGGGTTCAGAAAGTATACCTATTTTAAAACATTTAGGACAAGCCACTACTCATTTGAAAAGACCCTGATGCTGGGGGAGGAAGGGGACGACAGAGGATGAGATGGTTGGATGGCATCACCAACTCAATGGGCATGAGTCTGAGTAAACTCCGGGAGTTGGTGATGGACAGGGAGGCCTGGCATGCTGCAGTCCATGGGGTCGCAAAGAGTTGGATAGGACAGAGTGACTGAACTGAACTGAACTATGTGTTACTGAACCAGATTCCTATCTGTGGTATCTAAAAGTCACTTTTACCTAGAATTACATGTAACAGCCTCAGTGGTACATAAATCAACAATGATGGTTTTAAAATTTGAAATAGAGCAATGACACAAGTTTAAGAATTTTTAAGTACATTTTATTAAGAATGTATCCCTTTGATAAGATTATGCTTCAGGAGGCTTTTAATGCCCTTGACATAAACTGTACACATTATACAAAAACAAGAAAACCACAAAAAAAAATCAAGGTGAGCAAAACCATTTAGGGACAAACCTTATTTAAATTATACACAACTCAATGAAATATTCTTACGGAAAATATATAAATACTTTTCTTTCTATGTTACAGTTATACAATATAAATCAGATTTCAATGTCTGTTCAGTGACCTACAAATACCAGAACCTCCAAATATGTAGCAGCGTATTACTAAATAAAAAAGAAAATTATGTGGTTAGGGAGCATTAAGTCTGAGATTTTTTTCACAGTCCCTTACCACTTTTCAAAACTAATTTACATCATTTGTTTTACAATGCAGCTTTAGGGTTTCTGACAGGCCAATAATGGAACATTTTTCAACTATCATCTATGAAAGTTTTAAATCTCCCCCCTCCTCTGCCCAAAGACTTTGCATTTTGTGCTAAATCAACCTATTAGTGGCAAAATTACAAGATATACTTTTTTGGCATAAATTATATTTTTCAAATTAAATATTTTATAAAGAAAGTCAAACAAAATGTGCAATTTATGCGTGCAGTGGCATAGCTATCCACCTACGTTACAAAAATACTCTAAAGGGGAGAAAATCCACATTCATTAAAGAAACCTACTATGAATGAAAACTACCCTGGGAACCTAGAACTAAAAGAAAAAACAAATGCTCCTAGAAAGATTCTCACAGATGTTAATATTGTCTGATAAGCACTGCTATTAATTTTACTGGTATGCTTTTATAATCAAACTCTCACTGTAGTGACAGTCTTGAAATGAAGCTGGTAATAATGTAGTTCCTAAATGGAGAGACAAAGGAGACCTTTCCCAACTGACATTTTGGAAGATCTGAAATGTTCTTTTTATTCCAACAGCTCTTATCAAACTCTCTCACTTAACTTTTTTTCCCTAATTTAATGGATTGTTGAATTTGAGACAAAACTGGAAACATAGGATAAAAAGGGAAAAACCTTACTTCCAAAGGACCTTTCCCAAGGTAGTTTACAAAACTCCTCTCACACAAAATTAGCACCTCACTCTCACCATGCAAAGTAATTGCAGTTATAATTTGGATGACAATTTGATTGCTTTTTATTGCTTAGTGATCTGTGCTTTAATGTGGGGATAAAAGGCATCCTCTGAATGGAATGAAAAATTTTTTTTATATAAATAGCAGTAGACAAGTCTAAATAAGCATTCACACCTCACTGTTGAACACTTTGCATCTGTAATATGCCCTGAAAAACTCAGCTTTAATTACTTCAAGCTCTGGATAAAAGAGCTGAAAACTATTAAAGCCACACCATTTCAAAAGGTCTTATACATATGATGTTAGAGTAACTAGTAAAATAAAGTATATACCTCCAAAGAGCCTCTTTTAATGTCAATGTCTTAACAGAATGCCCTTATGCTACCAATATTTATTAGAAAATTTTTTATTAGGGAGAAAAGATTTTTTCCCCCTTCAAATCTACCTAAGCATAAACAGGAAGTAAAAGTATAAGAAATTTTAGACCATGTTTAATTACAAATACTAATTTCTAATTTCCTTATTTATCAGTATTTACTTAGTATGTGAAGCTGAAATCTGTTCTTGAAAAAAATTTCAATTAGAAACAATTCACTTTACAATTAGAAATTCACAGTTTATAACCAGCACAACTGCCCAAATTCCTCCAAATTATTCAATAATTACCAGTAGTACAAATTTATATGGACTAAGATTAATTCTAAAATCTTGAAAAACTACAGTATTGACATTATTTTGGTATTTTATAGTCTGGTAATATCTATTACATATAGATGCTTTTCTCAATTATTTCTATTACCACTGACAACATCCCTAATCTTTTCTGCTATAATTTAACTTTAAACACCTAAGTAAATCACTTGGCACTGCATGTGAGCATTTTTCATCGTAAAAGTCTACTTTTATACAAATAAGTACTTAAAGAAAACGTACTAGACCTGTCAGTGAAACATGGATAAACCAAATAGCACTATACACTTAATACAGACATCTTTTTTTTAGATTACTGATAACCACAAAGCTCTGAGTGTCTCCCCAAACTACTAAGTGCTAAAGGCAAATATTATGATATATACATACATATCTTTCAAAGTAATAATCCAAAAAACTGTTCAGGCTAATAGTAACAAAGACTTCATTTCAGGATGGATGAGTGAGGTGGGGTCCAGGGATGAAGGGGTGTGTGTGTGTGTGTGTGTAACAAAAAAGAATTTACTGTTAACTTTTGAGGGATTAAACCACAGATTTTATACTCTATATTAACTGAGGTAGTGTTTAAAAATGAATGTCTAAAATATGTTAATCCCATTATTAATAAGATTACTACATTACCTCCTTTGGAGTTTTTAACCACTATTTGGTCTAGTATCTCTGACATTTGGTTCTCTGGAAGGTAGTTTCATCATCCAAGACCAAAGACCAAGGTGACAGGCAACGTTCTTAGAAGTACTGTTGACATTTAAATAAACATTTGGGTTCAGTGATAAATTAAAGTTAAAAAAAAAAAGCATCTGTTTTATCTTCAATTGGATTTTATGAAAGAAAATCTGAAGAACCACTTTTTAACATAAGCAGCAGCTTACAGCCCTTATCTGCTTTGTTATAATAAAGTCGCTACACAGTGCACATAAGAACAATTCACTGAAGTGCAGTCAAAGAGGTGTTACGAAGTGAGATGAAATGCTTCATCTCAATTGGAACTTTCAGTGCCAGTAAATTAAAAAAAAAAAAAGTATCTCTGTGAGTTATGCTTTCTAGTTCACAGGGTTCTTTACAGAGATCTCAAAGAACAAGCCCATTATAAAAAAGAACTGTAATAAGGGAAAATACTAGTCCCCATATTGTGACTGTGTCAGAGCTGATGCCTAACTGTAAAAATGGTCTAAACAAATCAATTAAAAAAGGGTCCTAATCAGTCCAGCTTGATTTTTTTTCTACTTATATATAGACCTCAAAAAAGATCCTTTCATTTACAAGCATTCTAATGATGATGGCCATGCTTTTTTTATATACAAATTTGCATATATGTTTAATTCCTGTAAAGATTTCCAAATATCTTTAGACATACACAAATTAAACAAACAAATAAAACTTTGCCCTCATCAACTTTAACAACTTCACAAATGTGATAAAGGCAACTACTGTACTCATTAACTCACCTATCACTGCATTTAGTCTGTGCAAAACAAGAACACTGATATAAAAATTAAATTACTGCTGCTTTAAAATTTGGTACTTAAGGCTTTTCACTACAATTTTTAATCGTAATAATGTTTCACCAAGGATTTTTTTTTTAAAAGAAACTATGGCTCTTCGTTTCCCATGGAATGTATAAATTATAGGCAACCTTATCTTTTCCTCAAGAGATCCAAGGTGTTATTTAATGCTTGCTTTCACTTTAGGTCTAAATTAATAGTGCTTTGTTCAAGTTCCTGTTAAAATGGTGATGTGGGAAGCTAATGGAAATAGAAGTGCACTGAAAACATATGCATTTTATAAATGAAAAATACTCTGAATTATAAAATAATTTTCTGATTTTAATCAGGAACTGTAGTGAAAAACCTTAATCGGTTCAAATAGCCTATAATAATACATTGCAACAAAACTGAAGAGATGGAAAACAAGTAAGAAATTTTATGTAAGTCTAGTCACATAAAAATAACTTATAAGTCCTGGTTGGTGAGGCTCTTCTTTCGCTTTGAGGTTAAAAACCTCTGAAGTAGTGTTATAAACATGAAGAAAAAAGTGGAAGGGCCAAAGATCCCCTTCTAATACCAGCAGTTACAGAACATCCCATTGTGCTAACAGGATGCAGCCTCAGAGACACTGATTCCTGGCTTCCAAAATGAGTTAACAAACAAGGCATCTTTATATTTACCCTAAAAAAGGAATTCAGAAATAACGGTGTGTAGGGTGCTTCTGCATACCGTACTGTTCCACTGTTATTATGCTCTTAAAATGAAAAGTAGAAAACCCATGTAGGTACTCAGTGCTTGGATCTTGCATACAATGGTAACTGAAACTCTTAAAACTGTGGTAATGAATAATGAACCCCCAAAGGGGCTCCACAGAGGGGAGAGGAAGTTGTTTTGGTTAGGGAAGTCCGCAGTTCCAACTGTTCATGTACCAGTAATTGCTGGAACAGCGTATAGAAGATACTCCTGTCTTTGCTGCCCAGTCAGTCGGCTTTTTTTGAGGCTTTTAGAAGTCCACAAATATGAATATATATATATATATAGTCTACATCTATATACATCATAAATATGAGGTCAGGATTCAGCAGATGTATCAACTATAGGTTGCTTTGGTGGTGTTGCCAAGACAGCCTCTGCTTCTTCATGCATCTAGGGAAGAAGTGGTAAATTATTAATGACTTTCTAGTGTATCAACAGATATAATCTCAAAACTTTCAGTTTAATTCAAACAGAAATATTTTTGAAAGATAAAGTTCAGAAGTACAAATCCTACTTACTTGTAAAAACTGTACATCCTGAAATAATTCTTGTATGAACCTCCGACATGGAAGTCTAAATGTGCAGTGTGACAGCAAATGGGAAACCTCAGAGTAAAGGCATATGTCATCAAATGTTTGAGGATACTTCTCTTTAATTCTAAAATGAAAGAAAAGACTACGATGTGATAAAAATTATAATAATGACTTGCTTATTTTCTTTCAAAATATCATTTTTAAGTATTTTTTTCCTCTGGATATATAGATCAAGTGACATATCTTGGGTGAGGGCATAAGAATATAAAATAGTAAATATTCCTACCTCACACTTACATTATAACTATTTTAAGTTTGGGCTATCTCTTAAAATGATAAAAACCCAAATACTTCTTGGAAAGTGAGAAATATTCTTTTTCACTGGCCTGAGAAATTACAAAATGTATTTACTGGCCTAGAATAACTCAAGTATTTTTAAAACTAAGCTTTAAAATAGAAATAAATTTTTAAAGTTAAACTGAAGTTGAACTTTGGGCTCTATCTTTGTATCTTTCAGCATTTAGTAGTGGCTCTCGCCTGGTCCAGCACCTCAGAACCAGCAGTGGGTGGGCTAATACAGGTGAAGGACCCTCTACACTTAAAGCTTCTGGCCAGGAGGTCTGCAGTGGGATCCTGGTATATGTGCTACTACATTTTGTAAAGTCCCACAGGAGACCCTGAAGTGCATATCATTTTTTGAGGACCACAGCTTTAAACAGTGCATATCAAAGATGTTGAAGATGGCCTGAAAATTCTTTTATCATGTTGCTGTGATTTAGAAAAGCAAAAAAATTCTGCAACTTTTAAAAGGAGTAAAAATAGGGAAAAATTAAACCAAGAAAATATCACTTATTTTTATGAATGCCAGCTTTTCTTGAGCCTTATGGTCTCAGAATTCTTCTACTTCTTAAAAATTGCTGAGAAACCCCCAAATCTTATTTTTTGTGGGCCATGAAAGTTGTGTCCAACTCTTTGTGACCCCAAGGACTATACAGTCCATGGCATTCTCCAGGCCAGAATACTAGAGTGGGGGAAACTTTCCCTTCTTCAGGGGATCTTCCCAACCCAGGGATCGAACCCACATCTCCTGCATTGCAGGTGGATTCTTTACTTTTACTTTTGTGGGCCATAGCCATGAATAATTACCATACAAGAAATTAAAATTTAGAAAATTTCAAAACGTTTATTAATTCATTTAAAAAATAAAATCATTACATACATGTTAACATAAATACATATATTTTAATGAAAAATAACTATATTTTCCAAAACTAAGAGTGAGAAGAGTCACTATTTTACATTTTTACAGATCTTTTTAATGTCTGGCTGAATAGAAAACAGTTGGATTCACATACCTGCTTCTGCATTCAATTTGTTATCATATGTTAGTTTGGTTGAAGTAGATGAAAAAATCTAGGCTCACTAAGATATGCCATGCAGTTGATAACTACTGATGTAAAGCTAATTGATCAAACTTTTAAAGTATTTCAAGTGTCTTTTTCACCATAAAAAAGCAAAGAATACTCATGCTCAAAGCTTACTTACGTTAAAAGCCCAGTTTCATGACATTTAGTTGAAACTGAACTACTCAAATTAATGACTAATCTCAGAACTTCTTTGCGAAGGAGTATTCGGCACATTGGTGTATCATCTGGAATTGTTTTAACACCTGAAAAGAAGAGAAAAATATTTTATCTGTATCACAACAGAAAACTACTATAACTCATGGAATTTGTTTTAAAATTTTACCAAAGATATATATAAAACTGAGATAAACTGCACATGACCTGCCAATCATTTTGGGATCAAAATTCTTTCTAATGAAAGCAGACAGCTAGCTATGCGAGTATGTATCAGCAGCTGATATAGGTACAATAGTTGACTAAATATACCTCAATAAAACTAAGCTGTCATAGATTTGAGACAACCAATGAACAGCACTCATCATTAACAACAAACAACTAAGTAGAGTTATATTAACAAGGTTTGGATTTAAATCTGAAACCTTACCTAGTAGCAATTCGGTACTTTTAGTGCTGCTGGCTGAGCCTTCTTGAGACACTGCATCACTGCATCCAGAAATGCCAGAAAATTTAGAGGGAACTACTTCTAAGGGATTATGGATAGTCTGCTCACACCAATCAGAATATGGAATGTCTTGAAGGTCTGAAGAAATAAATTAATTCAATAAACAGATCAAAACAGCTTAATTCCTATGTTGTACTGTATACCACAAAGGAATGGTTCCTTGTAATTTCCTTCCAGTCTCTTCAATAATTGTTTTCCAAGATGAAGATTTTCAAAGTAAATTTACAGACTGCTCAAATAGTAAAGTGTTAAATTCTAAAGACATTTATACATAAGATTTTATTTTCCTAAACTACAAAAATAATAAATGTTTATTTAAAGAATTCATATAAAGATATATATAGAATAAGTGAAGGTCTTTTACCTACCCCCTCTTCCATGCCTCCCACCCTTAAACTAAATAGCCCTCTCCTTAAATATATAAAAATTCAGATCTTCTGCTATTTTCAATTTCTCTCTCTTGCTCTTTAGGTGTATAAGTGAGATTACACTGTATCTATTATTCTATCACTTGCTAGTCTTACCATTTAATAATCACCAATATAACAATCATAGTTCCCCAGACTTATCAGTTCTTTTCATAGGGTTAAACATACTATACTATCCATGCATTGCTAAGGTCTACTCCTAGATGGGATTTTAAAGTCAACTAAACATCTTAGTGTGGCTAAAATAACATCAATATTTTTTATTTTAAAATTGCCTGAGCACTTAAACTAAGTGATTAGAGCAAATGGAAATCAGAAAGTCTTCAGTTATCCTTTTAGGAGATAACACTGGGCAACCCAGAAAATCATGCAACCTTAGTACACCAAGAAAAGAGATTCAGAGAGAAGACACCATCAGTCAAAAGGTAAGACCTCTTGATAGTTAGTCCTATCCTCTTTCCACTACAGTACATTGTCAGAATAGTAATAAAGAGTTTTTTTAAAAGTCTAGGAAACTAGACCTACATCAACACATACTACTCTCCCTATGCTGCTATCAGTAGAATAGATACCACTAACCTCATCTCACCTTTAAGTACTTCCTAAGATTAACAGTGACATAATACTAAGCAGAATATGTTCTGGTTCCTCAGGATATCAACTCAGCATAGTTTTAATATCTTGGTTACTAAGAAAATCATGCATCTGTCAGGTACTTAAAAGTAACATATGCTACTTAAATTATACACTGATTTTAAAAATAAAACTACTGCCAAAAGATCTGAGAACTAAAGATGCACTTAAAGACCAGTAATGCTCAATAACCAGGTAAGAAATGGCTATGTTATTTTGGACTCAGTAAGCTTCCCATGAAGTAAAAAGACAAAATATTCCAGCAGAAAGAACAATAAGAAAATTATACTTCCTGTGTCAATGTTATTTGTGAAAGGTTATAAACTTATTCATTTCAGCCTCATCTTCAACCAGTGATGACTCCTAACATTTCTAACCTTTTATAACCACATTTTATTTCTAAAGATATCCAATTCTTATTAAAAAAAAAAAATCACACCTCTAACTAAATAAAGCCAAAAGGATTAGTTTCTCCCACTGTGGTGGTTTAGCTGCTACTCATGTCCGACTCTTGTGACCCCATGGACTGTGGCCCACTAGACTCCTCTGTCCATGGAATTCTCCAGTCAAGAATACTGGAGTGGGTTGCCATTTCCTTCTCCAGGAGATCGTCCTGACCCAGGAATTGAACCTGGGTTTCCTGCATTGCAGGCAGATTCTTTACCAACTGAACTACAAGGGAAGCCTCACTAGAGTCTTCTTCACACCTTCTCCCACTGGAAGATGTGAAAAAGCATCCTAAGAATAGTGGTAACAGAAGGCTTTTAATCCATGGGCTATCTTTTGTATGAAACTTGCTAAACCATATGAATAAAAATTTTTAATGAAATAATTACACGTGCTAAATGGAATCTTCAGAGAACATGTGGGTAGAATATTGGCATTATTTATTAATCAGTAGGATATGGAGAACCAAAACTCCTTGAAATTGGGAAGCTAGTTGACCTACTTCTTAGGCATAGAAGATAATGTCTAGCACTCTGCTAAAGGCCAAAACTGCATACTAGACTAATGATATTGACTTTTAGGGACATTTATTTTGAAAGCTATTCAATGCAATGAAACTTATACACACTTTTACTCAACACATTTTATTTCACGATTATTTTTAATTTGGATGAAGCATTATGTCCATAAATTGAACCTTTTTATCTGTGTAATTGATGTTTAGTTTCTTAACTGTATCTGTTGCTTTTGTTTCCTCTCTTTTTAATTAATAATATTCTGTACTGTCCTTAGTTACTCAGTTGTGTCTGACTCTTTTTAACTTCGTGGACTGCAGTCCACCAGACTCTTCTGTCCAAGGGGCTTCTCCTGGCAAGAATACTGGGGTGGGTTGCCATACCCTCCTCCAGAGGATCTTCCCAACCCAGAGATCAAACCCAGGTTGCCCTCACTGCAGGCAGATTCTTTACTGTCTGAGCCACTAGCTCAGCTTTATTTTATCTTTTAGTTAAAAATGGAGACATGAAGTATAGGATAGATCAGCCTCTAAGAGACTGCATACCTTCTTTATTCCCTGTATCTGGCCATAAAGCAGAATGCAGCCTTATGTGAGAAAGAATAAAAAGCTCCAGGGAAAAAATTATACAAGTCCATATGGGTTAATTCAGAAAAATCATAAGCTAAATTCTTCCTATCAGAAAGTGAAGTCTCCAAATAGAATATATTAAATGCTGAAACAATTCATGAAAAAAATCAAGAATTTCTGTGAGGAGCTCTGATCCACCTGATCATCATTTCTCCTGGGCAGCAAGAACAAGGAGACTGTTGTTGAAATGAACAAGGAGATTTTCCTTAGGAACACATCAAGATCATTCTAATTGAACTATTAGAATTTATGAAAGAATATTATTTCTAATGTAAACAACTTAGTGTGAGTCACCATTAATGGACAGCTTAGTGAATGCTAATCTTACACGTTAGTAAGGACCAAAACTACACCATAAGGCAGGTATCATTATTCCCATTTAGAAATTTAAGAAAAAATTAAAAGTAAAGCTCAGTGAAACTAGTATATTGCCCAAGATCAAATAATAAGATGGAAAAGTTTGGCTCTGAGCCTAAGTGCTCTCGACACCAAACCACACACCCTGCTATGTCTACACCAGGGGTCTGAGTATTTCCTGGAGCTCTGGCATTTCCTAGTCTCCTCCATCCCCAGCTGTACATCTGGGCGAGGAGAGAGAGATGGGATACTGCCTGATGTTCCCTTTACACCGTCATCTACATACCACTGATCTTTTGTATGCACTACTATTGAAACATGGATTTTACAGCTAATATTTTTGAAAACCACCGCTGTCTCTTTAGGGCCCTCCTTTACTCAATGTAATCTCTACCCACTCCTCACAAATCTGTCAGTTTAATTACCCAGACATTCAAACCAATTTCCTTGCTATTATCCTTTATAGTCTGCTGATTTTTTTCCAGTGCTCTCTTTCACAGATGGACTAGTCTGAAACACTAGTCCAACCCACTTTTAGTTGGTTAGCTACAATATGGCAAATGCAGTGGTATACATAAAGTACACCCCAAAGAAATAATGCGGCCAACATTTTGCCTTGCATACTTAACAATACATTGCATACACATCTGAGAAGGTGGTAGACACAGAATACAATGTTAGGAAATATCCTAATTGCCTTTCCTCTGACCTTCAACATTTTTCTGAACAACTGCCCCTACCAACATTACCACCGGATTGAAAGTTTTAAAGAATGAAAAGTCTTGTGTTCAAGTCCTGATGTCTCTTTAAAATTATCATTACACAGCAGAGGCACGACTTCAGACTACTGCAAACTACAGTAATCCAAACAGTGTGGTAATGGCACAAAAACAGACATACAACATATGGATAAAGGAAACAGAATAGACAGCCCAGAAATAAACTCATGAACATATGGTCAATTAATCTATGAGAAAGGAGGCAAGAATATACACTGGGTAAAAGATAGTCTTTTCAAAAAGTGGTGCTGGTACAACTGCACAGCTACATGCAAAAGCATGAAATGTTCAAATGAAACATTAGAACATTCTCTAGCACCATATACAAAAATAAACACAAAATGCATTAGAGACCTAAACTTCTAGAGGAAGTCATAGGTACAACACTGTTCGACATAAACCGTAGCAATGTTTTTTTGGATCTGTCTCCCAGAGTAATTGAAATGGAAACAAAAATAACCAAAATAAACTTAAAAGCTTTTGTACAGCAAACCTCCCCCCCCCCCCCCCCCACCAAAAACACCACACATAAAACAAAGCAAAAAGACAACTTACAGACTGGGTGAAAATATCTGAAAAGAATGCTTCTGACAAAGAATTAATTTCCAAAATATACAAATAGCTCATACAGCTCAATTAAAAAAAAAAAAAAACAATCAAAAAGTGGGCAGAAGACCTAAACAGACATTTTCCCAAAGAAGGCATAGTGATAACCATGAAAAGGCCAACAAGCACAGAAAAAGATGCTCAATACCACTATTAGAGAAATGCAAATCAAAGTGACAATGAGGTATCATCTTACACCAGTCAGAATGGTTATCATTAAAAAGTCTACAAACAGCAAATGTTAGAAAAGGTACAGAGGAAAAATGAAACCTCTTATACTGTTGGTGAGAATATAAATTGGTGCAGCCATTATGGGGAATGGTATGGAGGTTCCTTAAAAAACTAAAGAGTCACCATGATCCTGCAATCCCACTCCTGGCATATACCCAGAGAAAACCATAATTCAAAAAAATACATGCACCCCAATGTTCATAGCAGCGCTATTCACAACAGTCAAGACATGGAAGCAACCTAAATGTCCACTGACAGATAAATGGATAAAGAAGTTGGAATATTACTCAGCAATGAAAAAGAATGAGATAATGCCATTTTCAGTAACATGGATGGATCTAGAGATTATCGAATTAAGTCAGGAGAAAGACAAATATGTGATATCACTTACATGTGCAATCTAAAAATGATACAAATGGACTGATTTACAAAACAGAAACAGATTCACAGACATAAAAAACAAGCTTATGGTTACCAAAGGGGATGGGTGGAGATAAATTAGGAGTTTTGGATTAACATATATACACTATTACACATAAAATGGGTAAACAAAAAGGGTTTACTGTATAGCAGAGGGAACTATAGTCATTATCATGTAATAACCTACAATGGAAAAGCATCTGAAAGAGAATACACCCATACACACATGTATAACTGAATCACTTTGCTGTATACTTGAAAGTAACACAACATTGTAAATTACCTACACTTCTATTAAAAAAAAGTAGAGGAACCATTTTTTAATTATCTGCCACAGATAACAGGGCTTCCGAGGTGGCTCAGTGGTAAAGAAACTGCCTGCCATAAACAAACAAAAAAAGAAACTGCCTGCCAATGCAGGAGATACAGGTTCGATCCTTGGGTTAGGAAGAACCCCTGGAGGATGAAACAGCAATCCACTCCAGTATTCCTGCCCAGAAAATTCCATGGACAGAGGAGTCTGGGGGCTACAGTCCATGGGATCACAAAGAGTTGGACATAAATAAGCATGCATGGGTAATAAAGATATCTCCCTTCTGATACATAAATTCCTTAATATGGCCAAGAGCACTGCTTCTCAAACATTAATGTATACATGAATATCCTGGGCATCTTGTTAAAATGCTGATTCTGATTCTGTGTGGGGCAGAGTTTGAGACGACGTTTCTAACAAGTGCTCAGATGATGCTGATGCTGATGGTTCACGGACCACTTTGGGTAGAAAGAGTTATGCAGTACCTGGTCTCTACCTGTCTTTCCAGGCTGATCCTATATTTCCTCTCCCTTCACTTTCTGAGCTCCATTCCCATGGGTGTCCCATGCTTGCACCCATCAGAGAAGACTTTTGCTCGTGTTCCTTCCTCTCTCTTAAAATTCTCTATACTCCAGTCTTCATTTAGTTAGGTTCTATTCATGCTTTCAATCACTGCTCAACAGCAATTCTTCAGAAGTCTCTTCTTCGATCTGCCTATTTGATGATGTTTGTTGTTTAGTTGCCAAGTCATGTCCGACTCTTTCTGCAATCCAGCCCATCAGATTTCTCTGTCCATAGGATTTTCCAGGCAAGAATACTGGAGTGGGTTTGTCATTTCCTTCTCCAGGGGATCTTTCCAACCCAGGGACTGAATCTGCATCCCCTGTATTGCAGGAGGTCTCCCGCATTACAATCAGATTCTTAAGCACTGAGCCACCAGGGAAGCTCACTAGGTTCTGTTCCTTTGCTAGTACCAGGCAGCAAGTGATGGTGGCTCAGGCAGTAAAGACTCTGCCTGAAATGTGGGAAAACCGGGTTTGATCCTTGAGCTGGGAAGATCCCCTGGAGAAGGGAATGGCTACCAGTAGTTTTGCCTGGGAAATCCCACGGATAGAGGAGGAGCTTGGTGGGCTATAGTCCATAGTGTCACAAAGAGTTAGATATGACTGAGGAAAAACAATACTTGGTACCTACCCTTGATAGCACTTGTTGCAAATACGGTTGTTATTTTGGGTATTGACTGAGTGGTTGATCAATCCATTTCCTTCTCCATTGGATATACAATATAAGAATAGTGTCTTTTTATTTTTTCCTCTCACAACTGTCTTCTTAGCATATAGTTCAATGCCTGATCCCCAGAGTGACAATAAATATCAAGTTGACTGCATGAATGAGTAGAGGTTCAGTGTCTTTTTAACAACTAGCCTGCCTCCTTTCACACCTCTGAGAGGATATCAGTAGTAAATTGTAATCATTTCCCAATTAAGAGTTATTCTCCCCACTTCATATCACTTGACTAACAAGTCAAGGGGTTCTAATGGCTGAGCCAAGGTGAGAGCCTCATTGACGGCAGCAATTCTTCCACAAGTCCCAAACTTGATGCGTCTCAACTTGATTACTATACTGGAATGGGTTGCCACTTCCTTCTTCAAGGATCTTCCCGACACCGGGATCGAACTTGGGTCTCCTATGCTGCAGGCAGACTATTGTCTGAGCCACCAGAGAAGCCCAACTAGCTCAGGAATAGATCACAAATGGATTGGAATTTGCTGGACTGTCTTGTGACACATAATTAGAGGGCTGGCTTCCCTATTTCCTGTTTGATAAAGAGAAAACAGTATAGCAAAACTCCACAGTAAGTGCTTCCTAAGTATTTGCTGAATGAGTAAATAAACAGAACTTACAAGAACTAAAACATCATAAACAATGTATAGACAAATGACTTAAAGTAGCATCTTCTTTTCTGTGTACATTAGAACAATACTGACGAAACCTTTCACTGAACAGAAAATGAAAATAACATAGCAGGCTGAGTCCCTGTTCATAGTGGGAAGTGCCTTGTCCAAGGGTTTGTCAAACGCAGGCCCTGCTGGGAGAGGATTAATCTCTCAGCACATCCATGACCTATTCAGTTATCAGTGTGCCGGAATTCATCAGTTGGGAAGCTTTTAATCAGAATACCATGGAGAAGTGTAGATGAATGGCCCAGAGAATTCTGGTTATCACTACATTTTTCTGAGGGTGGCGAAGTGATATTCACCAAGAAAAGGTATCTATAGCTATATTTTAAACATACATATCATATAAAAAGGCTGAATCTGGGTCTGATTCACTTTCTACCTCACCAAAAACATACTGAGTGCCTAGTATATAAAGCAGTATGTAGCTAGGTGTTAGAAAATAAAAACGAAAGGGCATGACAGACTATACCCTGAAGCACCTTAGTGAGTGAATGGGGAAAAAATAACCAACAATAATTAACACAAGAGATCTATGTACAAAGGGCAATAAAAGTAAAGAGGAAAAAGTGTCAGTATCTGACTAAGAGGGTCAGACAAAGCTGTGAAGATAAAACATTCCCGTCTCTGAGGATGAGGTGGGCTTGCCAAATGGACTCTTATGTGGCTATGTGTGAGCTTGCATGTGTGTGAGGAGGGGAAGGTGCAAGAGGGAACAGTATGGAAAACACACTTTTAAAGGCTAGAATCATGAAAAAGAGCATAATCTGTTCAAAAACACCAAATAAGTCAATAATGGCATGTCAATTACAAGATAGGAGAACGGTGATAAAAACAATCAACAGATCAGACAGAGAGTCTTGTGTGCTAGACATGAAAAGTCAGTAAAGAACTGTTAACAGACTAATCCAAGGCAGCAGTGTGAAAGGTGACCGGCAAGGGGACAAAGCTGGAGACAAACACTAACACTCCACAGGCAGACGCTGAGGGAGTGCACTGAAGCGGAGGGACCGAGATGGAGAAAGAAGGATCAGCAGCAGGGCTGGGAGAGGTCTTGTGACTGGAGCAGGTTCAAATCCAGGTGGGTTCATCCAGACAGACACACTCACTCACCTGAATGACTACATATTGCACTCAGCTGGTTACTGGGCTGGAAACCCAGAATTTCAATACAGACACAATAAAGGCAGTTATCATCTGTATGTTCCTGTAGTCCAGTGTCTTCTGTACTTTCTAAAAACAGAGAAGCATCTGAATGGATTGAATTCATTATTTCCGTAAGACTCATCTGCTGTCGTAGCAAGTGAAAAGAGTTTTTTACAAGACCTCCAGTTCCAGACGGAAGACCTGTGTGTGAATAAATATAAAACATAATCTAAGGAAGATGACATCAATGACACTTCTTTCCAGGTGCATTAAACTATGTGAAATTTTAAAGAAGGGAAATTAGGGAAGAAAATCAGAACACCTTTTATGACTCAAAATCTAACCTTAATTGGGGAGAAAAATAGGATAATTTGCTTTAAATTAGGAAAATAATTAACATCAGCAGATATATTTATCTTACTTTAACATGAGGTTTTAAATACAAAATAAAAAATTAAAATTATTCAATTAGGTATCATTTCAAATCTTCTCAATATCTGCATAAAGAAAAAGTAAATAATTCTGGGTCTAAAGAGGTCCTTGTTAAGAAAAAAATCAAGATTATAAAGCTTTAAATCTGTGGCTGATAGGCATATATTAATTAGAATACTACAGCTCATAGCAAAGAGAGATCATGTAATGTATATAATTATTTTCTCTCTCTCTCCTCTCTCCAAAAAGGGTAAGTGCTAAATTTTTTTTCATATATTATGTTTAAAACAGAAACAACTGATCTGGTTTTTGTCTTCTTGAGAGGCTAGGTACTTAGTTCCCCCTGAAAAAAAGTTATGGTTTAATTTTAAATTGACTCAACTATTTTGTTGCCCCAAATTAAGTATATGTGAATTTTTAGTGTCATCCTACTGATAAGAATTTTCTTTTTAATATAAAGAGAACAAAAACCATCCATTACCTCCAGCATCATGGGCAAATACTCTTGCACCTCGATCATCATGTGGAGGTATATTTTTTGTTTGAAAATAAGGAATATCCTTTACCTGAAATAGATATGTGTCATGGTAAGTCCTATTATAAAAAGAAATTCATTTTATGAATATTAGCAAAATTAAATGAAATATAATTTAAATGGAATTACTAGAGCACATGAACCTATAATGAAAAGATACTGAAGGAAGTTGTATTACCAAAACTTGACAAAATAACATAAAACCGTTAAGGTCCTTATGGATCCTTAATTACTTAAATGGATATTAAAATAATTATTTTAGAATTTATCTTCAGTGTTCCTGCCTGGAGAACCCCAGGGATAGGGGAGGCTGGTGGGCTTTCGTCTATGGGGTCGCACAGAGTCAGACACGACTGAAGCGACTTAGCAGCAGCAGCAACAAAGTGTTTTTGGTCTTCTAGACAAATGCGTATTCTTAATTCTATCTACCATCTAGAGATTTGTGGTATTTTGTGGGATTACCACAGTATGTGGCTGTCATGTATGAGATAAGCAGAATCAAAGGATTAAATAAAACAAGGGATATACTGTACATTTCAAACTTAAACAATGTTATATGTCACTTATATATCAATTAAAAAAAACAGGAAAAAGTCAAACGTGACTAAAAAGCAAGATTAGGACTTAAAATTTCTATAGAGAATATACAGATAAAGAAATCAAACAAGATGCTGATTTAGTATGAGAAGAGAAAAAGGATAATGTTTTGGGGACTTAGAGGTGCTAAAAAGAGTACAGAATAGTCAAGAAAGGTAGAATAATTCTTATGGTAAAATTTCTTTAACTAAAACTGCCTAAGAATATCATCTTCCCTAAAATTAGTATTTACTTTAAATTATAATTTCTAGTAAGCAATTAATAGAATATGAAAAGAACAGTAAACTAATTCAAAAGAAACCAAAAGAATTTATGATACCTGGAATATATCATTGATATCTACTGGAAGAGCAAGACCAATATAGTCATCTGAGCTACCATATGTCGCACTGGACACCATGGACCTCACGGAGGAGGATCGCTGCAGCGTATTTTGGTTAATAGGACTTAATAAATCTTCTTTATCTAGCGAAGCATAACTTAAAGCTTTCATGAACCTAGAATATCATTAAAAAAACCGCATTAGTTTCTTGATTTGTTATATCAGATAAACAACTGTAGTCTATTTTCTTTCATATCTTCAAAAAGGAGAGAAAGCGCATCAAGTACTAAACAGTGCCATCTTATGTACTGAGAACATATGAACACTCGAAAATATTTATCTCCTATAAATTGATATATAAAAGTTCATTAGTAATGTTGACTGTTGACCAAAAACAACTGTTATGGTCTCTCAGGTAAAAGTGAAAAGGTGAGCAATTAAGGTAATTTTCAACATCTAGAAGTAAAAATAAAAACAAAACTGACCTCAGAAAATAGAGGTATATTATCCAAATATTAACTTCACAGTCACTTGAGACTGCCAGATTTGCTATCATACAAGTAAAGGCACATCTACTAATTCTATTTAATACTACTTTTATTAAAATAAGCTTAATCACTTATTCTTTTGTAATTACTTTATCAATGTAAGATTTTATAACATAGCAGACAGAAACAAAACAGTAAAAATGGTATCATATATAAATACTACAAAAGATAGTTTATATGAAGCACTGATGCTTCCTCCATACATTCCTTACCAGTGATGCCATGCCATGGACTACTAACATTTCCACAAGATATACGTTCCTTATACAGATTTTCATTCATGCAACAGACATACTAAAATATTTTATTATATGCCTGCTTTGTATATACAAGGCAGTACTCAAGGTTCTACAGTATATGTATACTGCTATTTGAAAATTCAAATCATTTAAAATGTAAAAATGTAGCCTGATAACAAAGATTTTGAAAAGCATACAAAATAAATGTTTTATAAATAGCTACTAAAAGTAACATTGGAAAAACCACTCCTAATTCCCAACTAAAAATCACTCAGAATTTAAATTAACAAATTTTATAAACTAGGGCCGAAGTTTTTAATTTGTACTTTTATATCTTTCTAATTCCAGAGAACTCTTCAAAGACTACTGGACTGAAGGGGAAGAAATTACTGTTATACTTGCCTCCACAATACCTATTTCAATCACAGTAGCTCCATTTTTACATATTCTTCACATTGGATTTCCACAGAAAAGTTTTTTGAAGAAAGGGTTTCTCTACTTAAAAAGTTAATACTTAAAAAAATGCTTAAAATCACTGATCTACTCCAACTGCCTCCAAGCAATCGAAGCCTACATATTTCAGAATTCATGAATTTTACTATATAGATTTACAACAGTAAACAATTGAGAGGTTTGTCTGCCTTTGTTCTGGATTGATGAGGCTTACAAAGCTTTTGAATTCCAAGGAGATGAGATACTACAGTATAATTATGGAACTTTTTCCAAGTTCCTTCACTTAGTGCCGGGATTAGATCTCAAGGTTAAGGATTCCTACTTCAGTGTTTTTTTCTGCTATGCCTCAAAGAAACACCTCAGAAAGATACAGTTTTTAAGACTGCTGGATTCATGCTAACCATTATACCACAGTATGAGAATGACTACTCTTCTAATTTTATAGGAAAAAATCTTTTCAGCCTTGATCCAAACTATTAGAGTAAATGTATAGCTTTCCTCCATCATTTTCATTTTCTCTGAATTAACCAAAAGAAAGAAGTGGGAAAAGGAAGACTAATATTGACAATTTTTTCCTCCATGGACCCTGTTTAAATATTAAATACTAAACACAGTTTGAAGAATAAGTGGAAGCTTTGATGAACCTAAGATTTCTGTTCAGCATTCATTCCTTCGTACAGCTGTTCTTGTTTCTCTTGACTGCTTTTTCTTGTTTTCATTTTTTCCCTCTCCCAAGAAATGAAAAATATATAGCAATCCTTTATAATGCCAATAACCTGGAATTTTAGTCCGGGAGTAAAACTTCCATATACCCTTCTCTCATTCTAACAGAGAGTACAGGAAATAAGATCCTAAGAACCCAGACTGATTAGGAAATAGTGATTTGGAGTTGTTGTCATTTCTCATTTATTCTAATGAATAGTTAAGCAATGAAACTTTTTACCTGTGCTGTAATCAGTTTAGATAGAAATACCTGCTTCAACAAGATAGAATGATTCTAACTGGGTAGAATAACCTTAACTGGGTGGTCCAGAGTTAACAGCGCTTTGTTTATTGTACTGAGCTGTAAGATGGTGGTGTCCTTACTACTTATTTTGGGTGCTACATTACTGCCCCTGGCTGAATGCTACTAGCTGCTATAGTCTGAGTTTTCAAGTACTTTGCTTTAGTATAAAAGTTTCCTCCTTTGCTACCAATTTCAACAGCTGTTCTTTCTTGTCACAGGGTCTTTACCAGTAAAAGGTTTTAATTATTGTTCTATAGGCCTGAAAACCTGATATCCAAACTTGTTAGAATAAACACTGATAAATTTTGAATGTGGGTCAGAGGTACCTCCTTTGAATAAAATTTGTGAATGTCACTGCATAGCTTTATACTAGTGAGTTGTTGAGAGGGATGAGGTTGTCAGATAAGACAGTATTGCATAATTTATGAAATCCTACCAAAGGGAACATAATTTACTATCTGCTGCAAGGAGTCTCTTCTAATAAATGTATTAACATTACTGAAAGAAAATTCCTTTATAACTTAACAACTTGATTACATAAGAGCCAAATGGACTACATTAAAGAAATAGCTATCAATAATAATAGTGATAATGATGATGATAGCTAACTTTTATCGAGTGCTTAATTTGTACTAGGAACTAGGCTCACTACTTGGCAAATACATCCACTTAATAAATGTAAATGAATAATCAAAAACTACGGAAGATTTTTAGAACTACTTGACTCAACAAAAAATTAGGTTTTAGAAATTTTTGCAAAAATCAGATTTAGCAATGAAAATCTTTCATAGATAAAATTTACTACTTTGACCAATTTGATATAATCTTTAGATACAGCAGAAATCTCCCAAATGTTCTTGAGCACAAGCATACTGCAATGCTGAATTCTGAGGACGAAGTAATTCATTTAATGTTCATTTGGTTCCTACTTAGTTATCACAACTACTTAAGCTGAGGGTTTCCCTTGTGGCTCAGTGGTAAAGAACCTGCCTGCAAATGAAGGAGACGCAGGTTTGATCCCACGGTCTGGAAGATCCCCTAGAGAAGGAAATGGCAACCCACTCTGGTATTCTTGCCTGGGAAATCCCAAGCAGACAGGAAACTGGCGGGCTACCAGTCCATGGAGTCGCAAAAGAGTCAGACACGACTTAGCGACTAAACAACTTAAGCTGGAAAGACTTGTACTGAAATTTTGTTATCTTCAAAAAAAAAAAGAAAAGGTCAACTTTTGGAGCCTTAAATTGACCTACCTGAAAAAGTTGTTTGTTATTGTAGGTCTTAAGCTCCTGATTCCCCCGACATGCTTCTTTTTAAAATCGATCCTTGCAGAAGCGAGAAATAAATAAAAAAAGCTTGTGACTTGTGTGTCCTTGCAAAGCATGTATGTTTATTTCCAGGGCCTAAAGGAGCTTCTTTTCCCCCCTCGCAGCTGCAAGAATCCATTTCAAATCACATACGGGTAACAAGGAGCTTATAGCCTACTACAGTAAACAGTAGGTCAGTTCTGAGGCTTATGTAGATGTAAAACTTAGCTAAGGCTGTACATTTAAGTCTGTTAAAATTCAACCATGTTCATTTTAAAATGTTTATTTGCTCACCTGCTTGGTGTTAACCTGGACTCAAAGCTGTTGGCCTTCATGGTGATGGTATCAGTAAACAGCACATCCTTTGCTGGGGATGCCAAAGCTTCAGAATGAGATAAGGATGGATGCATTCTTTGCTGCTGTAATCTTTTCAGGGTAGCGTAGCCAAAGGCATCTCTAGAACTTGTGTAACTAAAGTTATAGTCTGCTAGACTTTTAATTGTAGCAATAGAGGGTGCTTTAAGGGACTGTGCTCTTCTAGGAAGTGTATGAGAAGAACCTGGAGGCACCAGGGACACTGAGTTTGATTTAGAGAGAGAGAGATGGTTAGACTGTGGCGTCAAATAGTGGCTCGTCTTAACAGTTTTAGTACTTACCACAGTACTCATACTTCCACAGTCTGTGTCCACAGTCGTAGCATCTACACCTACTGTCTCTCGTGAAGGACTTGAACTCATTGAACTTATGCCACTTGTTGTAGTATCTGTATTAAAACTCTGGCTACGTATCTTCATATGTGAGCTCGATGAACTTTCTACAACTAATTTTTCTCGGCTTGTGTTTTCTCTGTGATTCTCTGTACCAAGACTCTTGGTGAATTTTAAGTCATTCTCTCCAATACTTGGAGTACTACCAGTGTCTTCAATGTGCTTATTCCCAACAAATGAAGTTTCTAATTGTAATGTTTTCTGTACTGTGGATATGGGTGTGAAATCATCACTATGATTAAAGTCAACACTGGGCTCTGTAAGTGTTCTGATCCGTCTGTTGCTTGTCTTATTTTCAGATGACAGTTTTCCTCCTTTTGGATCACTGCTGCTACGATGTTTTTTATTAGGCAAAGTAAGAGAATTTAAGATACGATTCTTTACAAGTTTACTAGAAGCAAAGAAAGGGAATGGATTTTTATCCTTTATAGGTCCAGGTCGGTCATAAAATGCTGGCTCTGCATCTTCATTGATGTCGAGGAAAAATGTACTAGTAGAGCTGCTGCCAAAGCGGTCATCCTCCATGATGAACATACCTATGATAAAAGGATTGATAATAAAAGGACATTAAACAGGACAAATAATTATGGCAACTTTAAGTGACATAGCTGAGGAAATTTTTGTCTAATAGTCACCTGGAAAAAATATTTTCAAAAATAGAGTTAAGACTGCTGAGCCAAATATTTTATTTGAATAAAATATAAAATTATGTCATTATGAAATCTTTTGTTATTTCCAAAAAAAACCACAAAAAAACTATAGGACTCATTATGTCATAGCTTATCTAAAGTTTCTTTTGTATCCCAGTAAGTTTCCAAAACCTCCAAATATTCAGGATAAAATTAAAGGCAGAGACGAGACTTGACTATGGATGTTTATTCAGCTGGTACAGGTTCCTGGTGGTTTATACTTCCAATCACAATAGGCAAGAGAAATCAATCTTATAAGAAATGAATGTCCAATCTTGAACAACATACACTCAGAACTGAGTCACAACATTTTAAGTTCATGTTTAAACAAATTACATTTATTTCTCATTTTGTCTTAGGTACTAAGAAACTCATCTAAATTCAATGCCTACCTAAAAGATTCAATCCAGGTGACTAACGACATCTACGGGATTGTATTTTATCTTTCTGTTGAATAGCTAGAAATGATTTCAAATATCTTCCGAACAAAGGCAAAACAAAATCTTAAACTTGCACACTGTACTGTTTTTCCATATTATGTCAATTTTAAGATGCACATGTTTCACACTCTAAAATCAGGATGTATCTTGCAATAGGCATCTTTTTTTCTTACATAGTGGTATGCATATTATAATTTAGGATGTCTTAGATCTCGTGAAATATGCTTGATAAATATTGCCCTATCTTCTTAAAAAAAAAACTGTCTTAAATTTTTGCTCCTAGCACCATTTAACACAATGGTGTTTAATGCAATCCATTCTTCATTTAGCTGATTTTTTTAAACTTCATTTAGTTGATTTTTGATACTTCCTTTTAGCAGTTTCACTATTTAATTTTAAATTTTAGCTTTTCTTCTAAAAAATGAGTACATGAATATAATACCTCGTAACAAATATATTCTAGCTCAACAACCCTATATATATGAAAAATGAACTAAAGAATTAGGTAAAAGATGACAGTAGGTGAATAAACATTTACTTATTAGAAATTGCAAAAAAAAAGAGCAGGGGAATGGTTCTTCTGGCACATGATTTATTATTTAACTCTGTAAGTAGGAATTTCCAACAGCTATTTAGAAAGCAAAGCGAAACAACAAAGTAGGTTGATGGCTATCCCCTGTTGTGAAAAGATACACATTCTCCAAGAGGCTATTACTGCGAAATTATCTCAGAAAGAAGTAAATTAAGAATGTAAAATTCATTTAAATTTTTATATCGGCAGTGTTAGTTTTGGCTAACTTCATATGATGCTGTCATAACACTCACTTGATGGTGCAGATTCACTTTCACTATTATGTCTAGAGCTTGTTGACTCCGAGTTCAAACTTAGGGTGCTTGGGACAGATGAGAGCTCATTACAGAGTTGTTCTACATCATCAGGAACCACTGGCCACAGATGTTTACGACTGTGCCTTACAGCATCCCAATTGTGACATTTTAGAATATCACAGCCTTGCTTGGTTTTGGCTATGAGCCCAAGAACATATACACAGGTCCTGTAAGTAAAAAGTGAAGTAATGACAGTTTAATTTCAAACTGAGATTTCTTAAAGCAGCCATAAAATAGTAGTTTGCTATATGTACATTTGCATTTTATTTAATAAGCTATTAAAAATAACATGAAAATCTTCCTAATAAAACTATTAATTACAAGGAAATAATTTCAAAGAATTATAATCAAATAAAAAACATATGTATACATATACATTAGCTTTTCTGAAATAAATTCAGAATATTTAGGCTAATGGATACTGGACTATTTGGACACACGCTAAACTCTCACTGTTTACTTGCAAGGTTAAATGTCAATACTATAATACTAAAAAATAAAGTAATATTAAACAAGGAACTCCATAAGATGTTTAATTTAATTCATTGAAAAACTATAATCATAAACTATTTTTCTCACATCCACATGTGAACAACAGTATATCCAATAGAGATTTCTGAGTTAAATCACACACCCTCTGACTGAAAGAACTTCACACTGTTTTGCAAGTTTCAGTATATCTGGAATCACATTTTCTTCTTGTAGCAAATTGAGACCCCAATTAGATGAGCCAATATTTCCCTGAAAGAAAGGAAATCACATGACAAATATATTTACCAGAGTAACTCTTAAGAGACTTGAAAAGCTACCTATAACACAAAAAAATCTAACCACATCTGTAAGAAAGAACTGTGCGAAAAAACCTCACATAAAGTTCCATTTGTCTTATCAAGGGGCTTCCCTGGTGGCTCAGATGGTAAAGCGTCTGCCTGCAATGAGGGAGACCCAGGTTCGATCCCTGGGTCAGGAAGATCCCCTGCAGAAGGAAATGGCAACCCACTCCAGTACCCTTGCCTGGAAAATTCCATGGACAGAGGAGCCTGGTAGGCTACAGTCCATGGGGTTGCAGAGTCAGACGTGACTGAGCAGCTTCACTTTACTTTTGTCTTGGGGTTGCAGAGTCAGACACGACTGAGCAACTTCACTTTACTTTTGTCTTATCAAGAAAAACAATAGTTTAATTATTTACTTTTTAATATTTAAGTGGGCAGAAACAATCTTGGCTTTAGAATACTAATCTAAGAACAAATTCCAAACAAAATAATTTTTATTAATATCAATGGGAGAATGAGAAAAAATCTAAAAATTTAGAAGATTTCATAGAAGTGTTTATTACAAACCAAGGCCCAGAGAGATGCTTTCAGTTTTTTAATTTCTTCCCATTTATCCAAATCTGGTGTACGGACATTGTGACAGAGTTCCGTAATAATATTCTGGAGAAGGAAAAAAAAATGCCATATGATTAACAATACATTTTTAACATATTTTCTTATTGTATATTAAAATCTATTTAAGTTTATATTTAGTAATTTCTATATATTTAAAATCTTAGAATAATTTTATGCAAAATTTCTTAAGCAGCAGCATTAGGACATGGGCTCTGTTGGAACTTACTAGGCAAGTGGCTTTCAGCACGTTACTCTATCTCCCCATGCTTTGATTTCCTGACTCTAAAACAGGGATAATAATAGCCTCTGTTTCATAAAGTTTAATGATTTAATGAATTATTACATATAAAGTTTAACAAAGTACTTGGGACTTAGTATTATAAAATATTAGCCATTAATTATCATTATTTCTTTTAGAAAGAAAATAATAAATTAACAACTAGATCTTCTCATACTATGGAGGTAATGACATTGACAAAATCATTTAAATTTTCAGCAAATTAAAAAAAATTAATATAAAGATACACACCTCAATAATCTTCATGGAAAATATAAAAATACATGAAATTATGGAGTATATTTACATAAAACTTTTGCTCTTGAGATGAATACTGATATGAAAAGGAACTGAACATCTAGGTTACTACTGTTAAGAAAAACACACAAATACTTCTGTAACTATTCCTAAAATAAGAAAATGGTTATACTTATTGAAAAGACCTAGTAGCAGGACGTATTCCCAGCCAAAATTTGATGTGCATGCTATACTCAAAGAACAGCTGGTTGCCTAAGCCTCCAATATTTCATGAAGTATATGAGAGTAGTTAGATACTAACAAATAGCAGCTGATACTTTGTTTGTTACTCACCAAAGGTAACTGAGTATGTTTCAGGTTCAGTTTAATTTTCCAATGAGAGGAATGAAGAAATTCAATTTTTCAGCATTTTTTTTTTTTTACTAAGAAGATGAACTTTCCCAACAAACTAGAAAGGAAAAGAACTCGGACCTTGACTGGGTTACTTATTCTACATAACAAATTACATATGCAAAAGACTGTAAGTCAGGGAAACGTATGCAAGCCTGTTTATGTGTGTAAGGACTACAAGCACAGAATGCCAAAGTCAGTTACAAGATGGAGCTTTAAAAGCAATTATACCACTGACTTTAAGGCTGTTTGAGAAGTTTTTGCAAAGATTAACACTTTAGTAACATTAACTTTTTTCTATTACCGTAGCTATTTAAAATAAGCAAATTATGTTTTTACCTGTACTTCCAATAAATGACAGCCTGTTTTGTGGTGTACCAGTTGTCCATAAAGATGTACAGGTAGGTAGACGTGAGGACGCTGTAATCTAGTATGATAAAAATGACTGATAAACTTACTGGCTCATTGTAAACATACTAATTTACAAAATGACTTAAAATATGAGATAAACAATTAGACAATCACTCAGCATGAATAAAAATATGGAGGTGGAAAGGCATTAGATTTCTTCTAGAAAAATAATAGTTTAGCTGGTTTCAGAGTAATGGTAAGAAACCTAAGACCAGAAAGACAGACGAGGGCTAGAACATGAAGGGATCTAAATGCTCTGTAAGTCAGGGAATGCAAGTTATGAATGCCACTGAAATTTTGAACATTCAGTGCTGTGCTTTAAAGAGACTTTTCCTATGTCAGTGTAAGAATATCCAAGTACTCAGAAAACTTTAAAAAACAATGATTTATAACAACATGATTTTAAATTTTATGTTTGAGGACTAGCAATAAATTATTCCATTAACTGGACTATACCTTTGGTTACTCCGACGAACATAGTTGTCACCATCAATTGGCTTCCGGTAAGTGGTAAGTGCTTCATTAAGCTGTTCTTCAATCAAGTCAACATATTTTGAATTATACTCCTGGAAAATAATATTGTTTAAATTATATATATTACCATAACAACATTTACTAAATCTCTAATATGTTAGTTACCTAGCAATTCTTGGAAGCACAAATAAAAGAAAAATGAACATCTTTTTCTTTGTTCAGGAAATTTGAGAAATTTTTGAAGAGCATAGATATAACAAGCTATTATGAATGCAAAAATGTTCTACCATATCCATAAACTTTCTGTTTATACTCTTTTACCATTTTCAATTAATATTTTGGGGTCCATAAAATTAAGTTAAAATTTTTGTTTTTCATCTTATTTGAATTCCTTTCCTCACTAAAAACAAACAAACAAAAAGTTTCTTAATATTAAATCCTGAAGATTTAAAAGGAAATTAACTGAGTTCTATCATTTTAGCACCTTTTGGTGAAAAATAGTATCTCTTTCTTCTATGATTTAAATCATGTCAAATGTAAAAAATATTTCCAATTAAAACCTGGAAAACTTCTAGTCAAATAATTTAAATTGAGACAGGCAATCACACTACCATCTTCATTGCAAAAGATCTCCACTTTAAACTGTTCAGAAGAAATTGGTAGAACCTCTGAAAAGCAATTTGCCAGTACTTATCCAAACTTTAAATTAATATACTTTTTGACTCAACAATTATACTTTAGAAATTCACTCAACAAATACATTTGCACAAGTATGCAAAGAATGCAAGAATATAACGCAAATGCTGTTTACAAAACTAAAAAGCTAGAAACAATGTAAGTGCCCAAAATACAAGAGTGATAATAAGAATTAGGGTACAGTCATATAATTTACTATGTAGCCACTGAAGAGAATTAGATAGTTCTAAATGCACAGCTCTGGAAAGATATCTCACATATACTGCTAAAGAAAAAAATTAAATACAGTCCTATTTACAGTTGTGAATGAATTCATCTGTATTTTTAATTGAAGAATATATACTTATAGATGTACAAAACATCTTTAAATGTATACAAAATGTTAACAAACATTACCTTCATAAAAGACAGTAAGGGGGCAGGGAGATATTTTTCATTTTAAACCATTTTATACTACTTCAGTTTGATGAGTTACCTTAACTCCCTACTTAGAGACTCTAAAAACTTACTTTTCCTGCTTTTCTTTTAGATTTTTTACTGTGCAAAAGTAATGTAATAGTCTAATTATATTATCAGCAAACCAAATTATTATTACTGCTATAACACTACCATAACTTCCTCTAGACATGAAAATCTCAGTACAAAAATACAAATTAAGGCAAGTATTTTGAGCTTTATGCAGGAATAGTTACATTCATGTGGTACTGTCTGGCTAGTCTTTTTTTGACCAGTGGTAACCATATGGAACACACTAGCAAAGGCCAGGGGTATGGTTTGTAACAATGAAATGCAGTGAGTTTCTGGTGTGGATCATCTTGAGGATTCTGCTTCAAGGAGGCAGAGAGGGACAAGACCCCAAATGAGGGTATACCTCTAGATACTGGGAGGTACTGTAAGTAAGCAACCAGAGGAGCCACTTCTCTGGTCGAAGGAACTACAGATGAGAGATCTCCAGAGTGAAGTCTGAGGAATTTATGAACAAGAGTCCTGAGTAAAAAGAAAAATCAACATTTGAAATCTGCCCTCCCCAAAGCTAATAGCCCCAGGTAACAACTGCATCAGCTGGGTAAGACTGTCCATGAATTCTCATCCCTTCCTCCATCTCTCCCTCCTGCTCTAAAGCTGGAGAGGCCCTAAATCTGCAGCTGGTAAATGGAGAGGAGATAAACAATAAAAAGTGATGAAATGAACCATACCCCCTCTTTTATTGCAGGTTTCTAAGTCTGTACGAAGCCTGGGCTAGGAGAGAAAGTTTTAAATCAAATGAGTGGATTCTCAGTATGATTCTGGTCTGAATATTTTATTACCTAGAAAAAGAGTGTCAACTTTATCATGGCATGCTGCAAACTACTGGGAGAAAATCAAACATAGAGGAAAAAGCATCAAGGCTCTGGAATCAAAAAGCACCACTGGCTCTGTTATTTTCAAGCTTTGTGACCTAGGATAAATTAGGTTACTCATCTTAGCCTCTACATTTTCCTTCACAAAACAAAAATAATAGAAAACATTTCACAGAGTTGCTGTGAGGATTAAATGAGGTAATACTTGAAAAGCTCTAAGTTTAATGGTAGGCAATCACTATTCACTAATTAATTTCCCATTTGCTAATTCATTTGTGAGATAAATTGTCTTTCTTTTTGCACCTCCCATTTACTGGCTAAACTCACTATAACTGCAAGTTAGCACCTGTTTGCAACTTTCTACTGAAATTGCTCTGGCAAAATTCACCAATGACCTGTCACATTCAACAGTGTTTTTTCTAGTGTTTACCTTATCTGACCTCTCTCAAGAATATATACCACTGGTCTCTCCTTCCTGAAGCATCCTTTAGTGAAATTATTCTGATAATTTTTCCTCAGTATCTCCATCCTTTTGTTCCCCTCATTAAAGCAGAGTGTTCTCTAGGGAGCAATTTCCAGTTTTATTTTTTTTGTTCTTTACATTTCCCTTGGTGATCTCACTCAATTCATATTTCAACTACTACTATTCACTGACAACTCCAAACTGCCATCTTCAGCTCCAGATCCACATTTCCAAGTATTTTCTGGATATCATCACTGGCCATCCCATAGGCAATAGCAGTTCAACTTACTCAAAACTTAGTATCCTCAGTCTTGCAAATCACAAGCTCTTAATGATGAGCCATTACTTACTCAGGCATTCAAATCAGAAACCATAAGAGTCAAGTCGTCCTCATTTATTATATCCAATCAGTTTATGAATTCTCACCATCTTATTTTAAAAATGCCCAGAAAATGTATCTCTATCAAACCTCACCACCACTGAAGTTCATGCTCTTACCAATTTTGCTTCTAAACTAGTCTCGGTATTCCTAGATATTTTCACTTTTTTTTTAAAAGTGAGGATAATCTTCTGTTTAGGGAATGAAACTATTATGTCTTTATTTCAGTTTTCCAATTCACCAATTATTGAAAGACTCCATGCCTGAAGCTGTATGCTTTACAGTTACAATACTTCTTTTCCATCCAGTTTTATTGAGAGATAATTGACATCCAGCAGTGTGTACATCCAGCATAATGATTTGACTTACACACATCTGAAATGACTATCACAATAAGTTTAGTGAACATACATCATTTTATATAGATACAAAACTAAAAAATAAAATATTTTCCCGTGTGATAAGAATTCTCAGGATTTACTCAACAACTTTCATATAAAACATTCAACAAAGCTAATTATATTTATCATGCTGTATATTATATCCCTAGTACTTATTATAAGTGTATAAATGGAAGTTTGTCTCTTTTGACCGCCTTCATCCAATTTCCTCTAACCCCACATCCCACCTCTGGTAGCTATAACTATAGTTTCATTATTTTTTTTTTAATGAGACTATCTTATGAAATATGGTTCAACATAGACAATATAAACAATGATCTGAATTCAATAAAAGAAAATCTGGGAATCATTTATGTTAGGACTGATTACACTATGAGCTTCTAAGATGCTTTGATGATTTATAATGCTTCAAGTTAACTGAAGCTGCAGTGATGACCAGCTAAAGAAAAGCTAAAGAGATAACCAAACCTTCAAACTAGTCCCTTCTTCCTAGATTTCTCTATTATGTACAACAGCAAGAAGTTTGCTCTCAGATTTATGAAAAGTCTACTCTAAAATGAAGTTTAATAATTAGATTATTATATCTGCTTGGTAGAACTGTTTTATAATCTTCAGTTAGGAAAACTGTTTCAGTTCAAAAGGGCTGTAAAAGGAACCCAAAATAAAAGAAATGATGATGGTAAGTAGGGTTGACAAATGATGCCAGTAGATTAAAGCTGAAAGCAAAATTTCAACAGAAAACATACAAAATCAACAGTTCATACTATAAAATAACTGTAGCTTAAAAAATGGATAAGTATGAATATAAATAAGTAACAGAATTTTAAGACCTGACTTCATATGAATATTTAAATATTTAACTTTAATTTCAAAATCCTCAAATCTATTTTCCAAAATAAAAACATACAAACTGAAACTTATTCAACAGAAAATTACCTTGTGCCACTTTTCCAACTGTTTTGTTACATAACCCCTTTCATTCAAATAGGAAAACCCTTTTGGAATGGAGAGAAATCTGTAAAGTGCAACAGGCAACAGTTTAACATTGGGTCTCACAAAAAATTGTTTAAGAAGCTAAAGTATCTCAAACCAAATACACTTAAGCCCAAAGACTTTAAGAACAGTGCCTTAAAGAAGTCAATTATCTTATAATTTCAAATACAAATAGTTTTATAATCTTTTCAAAAAACATGAATCCAACCACAGTAAAGAAAATGTTATGAAAAGAATGAGGACACGTAGAAATGAAAAAGAAACACTACGGAAAACAATGAAATGCCAGAGTTTCAGTACTAAAGAATGCCCAATATTCTAAAACAGGCCTCTTTCAGAAGTTAAAAGCTAAACTCTTTAGAGTGCTTCCTTTACAGATTTGAATCCAGCTTTAATACACACTGCCAGAGAGCACACAAAAGAAAACATAATTACAAGAAAAATTTTCTTAAAATTTACCTCAGGAGGAGAAGCAAACCCTTGTCCCCAAGGTGAGATAAAGCTGGCTTCATCTGAATAAGTGCATGAAGATTGGCCTAAAATAAATAATTATTAGGCAAATTAATAACTGCATGAAGACAGTCAATTATCTACTTCCAAAACCACTATATTACATATATTATAATTTCCCACAGTTTTCTATCAAACTTGAATATTTTCATAAAAACTCATGTCTAAGTATTTTATCATAAGATGAAACTTCACCTTGTCTTCACATGCTTCATCAAGAATATCAAGGGCCTCAGAAGAAATAGTTTTGTTTTTATCATGCAGCTGGGTCACAAGTAATTCAATTCCCCAATTATTGAAGAATTCAACATTAGCTCTCAATAATACTCTTAAATGTTTTGTTGCATACAGTCTGCAGGCCTATAAAGATAAATGAGAACATTAAAAAACAAAACAAAACAAAAACCAACCACCACCATTCAAACTTCACTATAGACAGTCCATCTGACTTTGTTTTAGAATAGTTTTACACTTGAAAAGGGCAGAAAGACTGGAATTGACAGTTCTAGCCCTTGATACAAACATGTTTTTTAGTCCCAGTATAATAAAATACTGTATCTATCTAACTGCTTCAAAGCATTTCTCTTTATATAAAAATATGGGTACTGTAGTCGAGTTCTCTGGACAAACTAAAATTTAAAAGTAAACTCAAATTCCATCCGATAGTCTTAAAATGTATAATTTTATTAGGCTAAAGTTTATAAAATACTGAACTAAGTAGTTATGAATTTATAGTTCTACTGCCTATGTTATACTCACATCAGTGGCTGCTGTTAAGATTTTGGAAAGGATGACCCTGGCCAAACCATCTCTGCTATAGTCCAAGCTTGAAACAGTCAGTTTTAGCAAGTGATCTTGGTTTTTCAAGGAGCAAAGGTTAAGTAAACTAAAAAAATGATGAAAATAATAAAGGTTACTAGAAATTACTGTACTGATTCATTAATTCAACAAATATTTTAAACTTCTTAATAAGCATTTCTAAAAGAAAGCAGTAAGAAATATCCCATTTTTAAAAAAGCATCAGAGCATCAAGACAACTCTAATTAAAATTTTTTTGCATTTTAACAAAACTTTTTGCCTTTTTATACTATTTGTGGGGTTCTCAAGGCAAGAATACTGAAGTGGTTTGCCATTCCCTTCTCCAGTGGACCACATTTTTTCAGAACTCTTTATGACCCATCATCCATCTTGGGTGGCCCTACATGGCATGGCTCACAGTTTCACCGAGTTAGACAAGGCTGTGGTCCATGTGATTAGTTTGGCTAGTTTTCTGTGATTGTGGTTTTCATTCTGTCTGCTCTCTGACAGATGAGGATTAGAGGTTTGTGGAAGCTTCCTGATGGGAGGGACTGGCTGTGGGGAAAACTGGATCTTGCTCTGGTGGCAAGGCCAAGCTTAGCAAATCTTGAATCCAATTTTCTGCTGATGGGTGAGGCTGTGATCCTTCCCTATGGTTTGGTCTGAGGCAAAACTATGGTGGGGTAATGGCAGTAATGGTGACCCCCTTCAAAAGGACTTATGCCAGCAGGCTCCCAGGACTGTTGTAGTAAGTGTCCCTGACTCTGCAGCAGGCCACTGTCAACCCATGCTTCCACCGGAAATTCCAGGACACTCACAGGCAAGTCTCTTGGACTGCAAGAAGATCAAACCAGTCAATCCTAAAGGAAATCAACCCTGAATATTTATTCATTGGAAGGACTGGTGCGGAAGCTGAAGCTCCAATATTTGGCCACCTGATGAGAAGAGCTGACTCATTAGAAAAGACCTTGATGCTGGGAAAGATTGAAGGCAGGAGAAGAAGGTGAAAACAGAGGACAAGATGGTTGGATGGCATCACTGACTCAATGGACATGAGTTTGAACAGGCTCTGGGAGATGGAGGACTGGGAAGCCTGCCATGCTGCAGTCCACGGGGTCACAAAGAGATAGACACGACTGAGCGACTGAACAACAATAAAACTTACAAATACAGGTGCACAGACTAAAAAGCATACCCTTTTTGATCACATTAAAAATAAAGTTTAGGTATATTGAGACAGAATCTAGGAATGCTCACCATTGAAATACGCTGCATTTTTCCAGCATTTTGACGCCATGAGGGTGGCAAGAAAGTGTTCCAATAAATAAAAAGTAGTGTTGACTGAGAGTAGTCAATAAACCATTATTTTGAAGGCTTCTTTCAGGTTTCATTCCAGAAGAGGCATTGAGCCACTGAACAATATCCTTTACTAGATCTTCTAAGTATCCCTGCCCATCCTAAAAGCAAATACATTAGGATATTGCTAGAAAAGCAGTTAAGTGTCTACAACTAGAAAAATCAACTCAATTAATCAAGTCCAAAACATTTAATAATAATGAAGTTACTAATAACAGACATTAATCTCTGAGTATCTGTTCTTTTTAATCCCATTCAATACAATGCTGCATGAGATGGTATTATTTTCCATTTTACCAAAAGAAAACCAGCTCTTCTAGAAGGCAAATAACTTGCCCAAAGTCACATAAACATCTAGTGACTAAGGATAAAAATCTAGGTCTGGGCTCATTCTATGTCTCTAAATATAGCTTATACATATTCAAAAATAAAAGGAAGGGGGCAAATTCAGTGAAAAACATGTGCTCTGGAAAATATTCAAAGTGTCTATTACCTCTTCAGACTCAAGAAGAAATTCTGTAAACTGACAACCCACAACTGTGAGCTGCTTGGACTTGGCAAAATCCAGATCCAGATTGGCGTATAACTTACTACTGGGCTTGTAAAAATAAAGTAGTCTTCGTACAAACCTGAGATTAAAATGAAAAATCAGCAACAAAGTAATAAACAAACAATTATTTTAAAATCTTAACCATAGCTTTTGAATATGTTTTGGGTTTAAACCATTGGGGTAAATGGCAAGAAATTTAATAAACACATTTGGTACATTCTACACACGCACACACACACACACTAATAATTCCCTTCATTATAAAAAATATCTTCACGAAATAAGAATTTTATGGTGAGATGCCTGATAGAAAATAGTGGAGAAGAAATATGCTAGCAGGAAAAATGCAAACATAACACTTCTAGAAGGTACACAGTTGGATAAATATGATGAAACCACCTGGATATAAATTTTCATTCTTCTTTTTCTTTATGACAAGTATCCATTTTATTTTACTGTTAGATTTTTTTTAAACCCTATTTTAATCTAGAATATATAAATTTTCTTCTACTATATTTTATGAACGTATACTAGATAACTGCACACAATATGTTACTACACTATGATTTTGTCAGTTTTTCACAATTAGGCAAAAAGTCAACCATAAAAGCTTCAGGTAAAATTTAAACAACTGAATTTATAAAGCAATGGATGATATTTTCATGTTATAATTTTCAACATAATGTTCTAACCTTCCATTTAATTTAGTTCAATTTAATTTCTACACTACTATCCAATCTAATAAAGATGCCAGACCTAGGAGTTGGAGAAACAAAGTTGAATGAGACTTCATATCTGTTCTCACAAGTCTTAAAAGTCAGTGCTATGCTTCTTTATCCCAACATAATTTATATGTTCTATACATTCCTCAAAATGTGAAGAGATGATAATAATCAATAATAATACCAATGATATGAAATTCTCAAAAACATAAAGTAAAAGCTCTCTTACTCAAAGAAATCAACACTGGTGGTTGGGTAATCTAAACTCAGAAGGAATAAAAATGCATGGGGTACTAGAAAACAGCATAATACCCTTTTAAGTATTGTATATGCTATAAACATAAGCTGTTTTATGGAAGGTGTGGCTGATTGAGGGCAGTGTTAAGAGGAAGAAGAATGAATAACCCTCCAAAGTCACATGCAAAAGAAATTAGAATATTTAAAATGTCCATCTCTTTGAGAGGAAGATATTATGCTCTTAATATATCATTCTCATATGTTAGGGCCAGGATTAGTACATGGCTGATACTATTGATTTGAGAAAACTTTTATCTTAAGTACTTCATTTGTTCCAAAACTAAAACCAGAATGTAAATAACCAGAAAAAAATTAGTTAATGCTTTTTGGTTATAAAACACAAGCTATGTATAAAAATATATATATAGTATGTACCTACTGAATACCAACAATTAAAAAGTAAGAATGTATGTTTAAAACATCAATTATTACTTTTAACAGGTATCAGACATAATATAATTCAAATTTAAGTTCTTTACATTTAAATGCAAAACAGTTCTTACATACCTGTGCAACTGTTCATCTTTATAGTTTCTTAGATTTACATTTGGCCACTAGAAAAACATAATATGTTATATTATGTACTTATTAATTCCTAAACATATAATTATGATAAATTGCAATGAATAATAAAATGAAAACAATCAAGCCATTACCAAGAAGTATCCTATCATACCTTAAGAATGGTCCCAATAAGATTCCAATTCCATTCAAGATTCTCTTTATGTTGAAGGACTTGGCTATCTCTAAGGTTCATTAGAAGAGCTTCCTCTGTATCCTAAATCACCAGAAAATAATAAGAAAAATTAAGAAAAACTGGCCTTACATCAAATAACAGTTGAAATTTTAAAAATAAAAACTTTTCATTTAAGGAGAATTATCAAGGTTCTTTAAAAAGTTATAAAAACTCAGCTCAACTGCCCAATCATTATAAAACTTAGAAGCTTTTTGAAAATCCATATGCATCAATAAAACTGCTAACTCAAGCATGTATATGCCTACTAAAATACAGTGGTTAAGAATTAGGAAATTAAAGTAAAAATCACATCTTCTGCATCAGTACCTTAAGAACAAATATATCTTTCTGAGCTCGGAGATACTGATCTCGTTTCTGATGTGTTGCAATTGCTTTCTGAATAATGTGATCTAAATGAAGGCTATAAGGTTTAGGTCCTCGTTTTTTCATTTCATGGAAGCGTTTTAAACAGTTCAAAGCTGCACTGGCTCGCCTAAATGAGGAAAAAAATTCAATTAATACTGTAGGAGGGATAGCATAATTTTAAAGAGATCACTTTGGTAAATTATTCTATTGAAACTTACATAAATGCAGGCTAGATACTGTTACTAAGAAGTAAATGATTTAATCAAATTTGGAACCACCAAGAAAAAAAAAAAAGAACACTGCTGATTTGTATGAAGAAATACTAATTATTCAGATTCAACAAAACATACTAATTATTTCTTACAGTGGTGGTGGTACAGTTGTATGTTAGTTTTAAGAACTCCCTCCTCAAGGTCCAAACTGAAGTTTTACATATTTTCTTATTTTAAAACTCTGCTTTTCACATTTAAGGCTTTGATCCATATGAAGCTGATTTTTGTTTAAGGTATGAGGTTGGATAACCAATGATTCCAATATTAACTGAACAGTCTCTATTTTCCCTACTAATCTGCAACTGTAAATGGAATACTTTAAAAATTATTTTTAATTCCCTTCTTGTGGTATATATAAAGTACAGTTTTCAAGAATTTGGTGGCAGTCAAGTCTCAACTTCAGAAATTGTAATAAATACAAACTGGATTCAAAATGTAAAAACCTTGAGATGTGCCCAGATTGGCAAGTACTTATCAGTAAAGACAGCTTACCAAGCTCAAAAAAAAAATTCTATTATTATTATTGGGATTTTGAAGGTAAATTTGAATTCCTGATGAATGCTAAAATCCATGGCCATAAGCTGACTCAATAGAGTTCAGGTCTTACCAGGCTTTGAGAAAGTACATTTTTCCATGAAGAAACTACTAAAATAAGAGCTGAATGCTACCAATACCAATATAAGCCTGAAGTCAGAACTGATGATCCCTAATGCCCTCAGTTTATATACAACTTCACTCTGTTAAATTATAGTATTCTCACTGGTAGATTTTAAATTAATAAAAAAATACTATTTATTTACAGTGAGGCCCTTATGTGTACTTTAAGTTAATAAAGCTAACTAAACTTATGAGAATTATAGTATAACTTAACAAAAATTCCTATGAAGAACATTTTAAAAGTTTATGAAAAAAAAATGAAACCTAAATATATAAATTTTTCTGATCATAAGAGAAAAAAAAAAAAGACATCCCTGGATGAGACACAATCTTTATCAGATGAAAAAAGATTTCTATTATCACTATACAATCAAGCTCCTCCACCTTACATTTTAAATTATATTTTATTATTAGTCCTCAAATTCCAGCAGAGTTACAGCTATATTACCATACTTTAGTTTATAAATTCTGTATTTGTAATATTTCCTTCAGCATTAAGGGTTTAGCTTACTTCAATGCCTGAAGTATGGGCTACTAAATTCCAAAATTTTTCTCCTCAACATTTTTAACCCCACATATTAAAAAAAATGACAGTCTTTTTTGTGCTTTAATCTGATACAATTTAGATATTGAGAAAGAGACTGAATTGTTGCTCAAAACATGCAATAGTCCAAAAAACTCACAATCCCAATATTTTTACTGATCCAGTAGAAATTTTATGTCATTGTCCAGAAACATGTGAGAAAAGGCTGACTTTACCAAGGCAAAATACTTTGTAGCCTAAAATACAAATTATTTTTAAAAACTACAATTTTTCCTCTTATCCAAAGGCTTCCCTAAAAGAATTCTCAGGAATAACGTATATATATTACTTTCTTAAAAAGAAGATAAGGACATCTAAGTGGCTATTAAATATACTAGGCACAAACTTTGCTAGAACGTGGATACTTACAATCTCTTTTCCTTAGGGATATCAAAGGATGCAGCCATATTCATTAGGGTTGGCAGGCAGTGCAAATGATGGCTATGTGAATGAGGAAGAATTGTGTTTGCCTAAAATGAAAAATAGTATTTTATAAAAAATTGAAAAAGAGTATTTTATGTTACAGATTATCCACAGATACAGTGCTAAAGACTGAGATTTTACTTATGAAGTTAATTATTTACTTTATAATACATACTTACTATTTTTATCTTATTTACTTTCATCAAGGATGACATGTAACAAATATAAGGATACAGGCTCAGATTACATTAATAAAACTCTAAATTCCATAGATCCTTTATCATAACTTTCAATTATAATCTTAAATGGTACCCAATTAAACTCAATTCTTAAATAATGTAAAAGGATGATAGGTCAAAACTTAGATTCAGCGCTATAATGTTATGTTAAAAGTAGGATTTAAAATGCTGGATGCAATATCATAATTTACAAATTTACCTCTTAGGTTTAAAAGCCAGCTTCTCAAAAAAGGTTTGTCTCATAATTCCAACAATCTTTAAAATAAGAAACTTGCCTTCTACTTTCCAAACAAAATCTGCAATATTAATTCTTTCATAGATGGGCTTAACAGAACAAGTGGCTAAATAACTTACTGATAAACAAGACAGTTATCATTAAACTGCTTAATTCTCTTTTCCTCACTCACAAAGCTGAACTTCTATATAGAAAAAACCCTGGTGATGGAGGAGACCAAACACAACTATAAAAACAAAAAATAATCTGCCAGTAATAACAAGCCATAACATAATTTCAAAAGATTTGCCACAGGGTTACTTCTTCAATGAGTTCAGAGTGGTTCTTTTTATTTAGTATTTTATTAACTAATGGGCTTCCCTGGTGGCTCAGACGGTAAAGAATACACTTGCAATGCAGGAGACCTGGTTCAACCCTTGGGATGGGAAGATCCCCTGGAGAAGGGAAAGGCTACCCACTCCAGTATTCACGGACAGAGGAGCCTGGCAGGCTACAGTCCACGGGGTTGCAAAGAGTTGGACATGACTGAGTGACTTTCACACTTATTAACTAACAGACTTAGAAATATAAATTTCTAACTTGCAAATGATCAGAGTACCCTCACTGCTTCATCTGCTAGGAGTTGAAAATGATCAGATCACTTGGCTAGCTCCTTGTTTCCACAAGTTACTGATGTCATAAAACCATGTCCCCTCCAAAAAGATTCCCACCTTTCAAAACAAACCTCAAATGATAAGTTTACAAAGAAGTACATATTCAAATAAGGCAGTTAAATTTAGGTTTTTTCCTTAACAAAGTTTTCTAAAATTCAGGCACTGACTGTTATCAATTCGATCCCAAGCTGACTGAAGTAATATCTATAGTTTTGTAATTTTTAGGTAGGAAGTCATTCTAAAGATTCTAAAGAAAGATATTTATGGACTCAAAATGTCAACATCGAAAGTGAGTATTCAGTACTTTATATTTTTTCCATTTAAAAAACTAGCCTATGTATATATGATACAAAGTTATCAAGGGCTCTTTGTAATGCAAAGATATATAGCCAAATAAATGCAAACTTATGTTTTTGAGATAATGCAAAGTTAACACTGTTAAAATTGCCTAGTTTCATAAATTAAAACATTAATATACAAAACATAATTAAAAGTTGTTAAACTTACCATATGTAAAAGTTCTCCTAAAAGGATGGTGGCTCTAACTGAGATATGGTCATCACTGTTTGTTATTACCTCAACCAAACCCTTTGAAAATAAAAAGAAAACAGCATAGTTGCAAAATAGCATACATGAATGAACACATCTATGCATCATGTTTGTTGCTCTGAAAGAACTGTTAGAGAAAATAAAATAGAAAAAGGTTTATAATTCTTACTTCTAAAAGTCCATTACGAATAAATGCTGAGAGTATCAGTGCCAAATAATTATCCATGAGGTCTGGCCTGGAAATAAATACAGCACAGAAAAATTTAAATCTTGTTCCATAAACTAGAAAATTTAACATAACAATAGCAACTGTAATAAATCTTTATTATTTTGTACTTTTGTAATTCTACCTGGATCTGGCACGATGAGGAAGAATAGTTTTTGCCTCAGCTGCTACAAAGCCATCTGAAAGTCTCCAACTGTCTTGGAATCTACCTGGATCTAAAATAAATTTAGATAGTTAGAAGAAAATAATACATCAATGAAACACTTTAAATAACCATCAGCTAAACAGGCTATCCATGGACAGAGGAGCCTGGCAGGTTACACTCCATAGGGTCGCAAAGGTTCAGACATGACTGAAGTGATTTAGCACAGCATAGCATACAACCAGGCTATAAATAATTTTAACTGTTGGCTTAAAAAAAAAAAAAAAGACTCAAAAAAGCATACAGAAAAAAAAAAGATTTCTGTAAATGAAGGGTTTACATAAATCTAACTTTAACTTTCTTCATTGAAGGCTTTAGAGTCATTTAGCTAAAATAAAATTTTAAAAATCAAATAATCTGAGAATTGCAAACAGTTTCCTTATTATCTCCTCTCTTCCTTTCTCGATCCATCCTTCTATTATTAATTTCACTGCTAATTTCAGGAGCTAGGGTGATGGAGAAGAAATTAAAATTTCTTTTTAGAAATTCACCTGAGATTTTATTTTTATATTAATTTCATGCCACAAATATGCAATAAGAAAAAGAAATGATATTCAATACTTATTTTAGTAACTTGGAGGGACTCTGCCTCCATTAGGTAAGTCATTTAAAAAATTACAATATATGAACAGTGAATGCACTTCAATACTTACCTACACTGAGCAGTGCTTCTATGAACTCTTCAGTCACAACAGGTAGAGGAAGACGAAATATATCATAAAGCACTTCAAGGAGACCTCGCTGAAAGTAAAAAAAAAAAAACAGTTCATTTATTTTTACAGAATAAATCTTCACTTAAAAATTTTTAAATGTTCTATTCACAGATTTAAAAATTGGTAAAAACAGAACTACTACATTTTAGAAAACTACTGTATCTGCCTATATTAGAGAAAAGTACTGAATGCATATACATGATGTAACTTTTTCAATAAATCTTGTATTATCCCCATTGTACACATGAAGAAATAGATTTAAAGGTTAAAAATAATTTGCCTAAGGTCATGGAGCTATAAATAATAAAATCAGGAGTCAAACCTCAGTCTGGCCAAACTCAAAAGAGCATGTTTTTGGCTGAGTAAGAAGTCAACTGAACTGGAATCTTAGTTCCCTGCTTATAGATCTTTCCATCCTTAATAACATCCTTCCATGGTTTAGATGCTTTTATTTTTAGTTCACATTTTAAGCAAGGCACCTCTAGCTAATATTTATACTAATAATTAGAAACAGGGGGGCAAATTTTGTTCCTTTGAACATTAAAAGAAAAATGTAGAAGGGGAAAAGGAAGAACCTTGTGAAGAGTTAATTTTTTCCCTCTAATTTCAATGTTTCAGCTGTTTTATACAATTCTTATAATTAATAATTGAGAAAGTGAAGTGTTAGTTACTCAGTTGTGTCTGAGTCTCTGCGCCTCTGCGGACTGCAGCCCACCAGGCTCCTCTGTCCATGGAATTCTCCAGGCAAGAAAACTGGAGTGGGCTATCATTTCTTTACCCAGGGGATCTTCCCAACTCAGAGATAGAACCTGGGTCTCCTACATTGCAGGCAGATTCTTTACCATCTGAGCCACCAGGAAAGTCATAATAATTTAGGACTATGTCTAATAATTAAGTATATAAATACCCCAATTTTAATAATTAAGTATATAAATACCCCAATTTTAATAAAAACCACTACTCATAACATAAAAATAAAAGTTAGAAGGTGTAAGTTGCATAACTATTATGCTTACTTTTCCCTAAGTATAGTTTTCTGTATTGCTTGAAACTTTTACAATGAGAATGCCCCTGTGAAATGTCTATGCTTTTTATTAAATAAAGCATAGTTAATTTCAAAGAAAGAAAAGGCTTAATTAATGTCATATTTTAATCTAATTTTAATACATCCATAGTTCCTACAACAGCATTGTTTCAAATGATTCTTGTTATTATCCTTAGTGTTCAACTAAGTGGTAAATATTTATTCCTGTATTTTTAAAATGTTCTGTGATACAGATTAACAATTCATGAGGAAAAACACCACCTGAAACTTTTCTCCAATTAATTTCCTCCACTAAAATTCCGGGGATGATACAGAGTAATTTTTACCTACCCTTATTTCCATATTTGGAATGCAAAGTACTCCAATTAGAGACTGAATCCCAGAGTTTCCAGGTTTACATAAATTAATAATACCTATAAAGGATAAAAAGAAAAAAAGGTCACTGATTTGAATTTCAATAGATGTATTCATAATACAAAATGTTACATTTTTCTAAGCTAAATTACACTATTATATTATTTGATCATCCTAAGTGATAGTGTATTTCAAATATTCTCTGAATTTTCCAACTAAGTAGAGATTATGAATAATTTTACTATTTAAATTACATCCAAAAAGGTTCTCAAGAAATTCTGGGCTACTCGGCAATAGAAATAAAAGCAAAAGTATGGCTTTCTCTGGGTACATGCTCAGGAGTGGGACTGCTACATCATATGGTAGCTCTATTGATATTTTTAGTTTTTTATGGAATCACCATACGGTTCTCCAATAAATCGTGGCTGTTTCAATTCCCAGTAACAGTGTAGGAGAGGTCCCTTTTCTCCACACCTTCTCTACATTTACTGCCTACAGACTTTTTAACAATGCCATTCTGATCAGTGTTAGGTGCTTTTTGGCCATCTGTATGTCTTCTTTGGAGAAATGTCTATTTAGACCTTCCACCCATTTTTTTGCTGAGTCATTTCAATTGGGTCTTTGATACTGAGTTGCATGAATCATTTATATATTTTGGAGATTAATCCCTTGGTCAGTTGCTTCATTTACAAATATTTTCTCCCAGTCTGAGGTATGGTTCCCTTGGCTGTGCAAAAGCTTTTAAGTTAAATTAGATCCCATTTGTTTATTTGGGCTTTTTTGTTTTATTTTTTTCACTACTCGAGGAGAAATGAATCAAAAAAAATTAAACAAAGATCAGGCTGTGATTTGGGTAAAAGGGGGTTCTGCCTATGTTTTCCTCTAAGAGTTTTATAGTGTCTGGCCTTAAAGGTCTTTAATCCATTTTGAATTTATTTTTGTGTATGGTGCTAAGAATGTTCTAATTTCACTCTTTTATATGTAGCTGCCTAGTTTCCCAGCACCAACCACATATTGAAGAAACTATTTTTTCTCCACTGCATATTCTTGCCTCCTTTGTCATAGACTAATTGACCATAGGTGAGTGGGTTTATTTCTGGGCTTTCTATCCTTTTCTATTGATCTATATATTTCTGTTTTTGTGCCAATACCATATCATTTTGATAACTGCAGCTTTGTAGCATAGTATGAAGTCAGGGAGACTAATTCCTCTAGCTCCATTTTTTCTTTCTCAAAATTGCTTTCACTCTTTGGGGCCTTTTTGTGTTTCCATACAAATTTTTGTTCTAGTTCTGAGAAAAATGCCATTGGTAATCGAAGGGATTGCACTGAATCTGTACACTGCTTTGGATAGCATAGTCATTTTCACAAACTAAGAACATGGTAATACAAGAATATGTGGTACATATATACAATGGAATACTACTCAGCAATATAAAAGAAAAAATAATGCCATTTGCAACAATGTGGATGAACCTGGAGACTGTCATGGTGAGTGAAGTAATTCAGACACAGAAAGACAGATATGATATTGCTTATATGTGGAATCTAAAGAAAAGGGGACAGGATACAAATGAACTTACTTACAAAACAGACGTAAAGTCACAGATGTAGAAAACAAACTTATGGCTACCAGGGGACAGAGGTAGCAATAAACTGGAAGACCAGGACTGACATATATACACACTATGTATAAAGTAGATAACTAATAATAACCTACTGTATAGCACAGGGAACACTGTTCAATACTTTGTATTGGCCTATTTAAGAAGAAAATATATTTTTTTAAATGGACATATATGTAACTGGTTCACTTTGCTGTACACCTGAAACTAACACAACACTGTAAATCAACTGTAGTCCAACAAAAAATTTTTACAAGAAAAGCAAAAATGAACAAATGAGACCTAATCAAATTTTTAAGCTTTTACATAGAAAGGAAACCATAAACAAAATGAAAAGACAACTTACAGAATGGGAGAAAGTATTTGCAAATGATGCAACTGACAAGGGATTAAATTCCAAAATATCTAAACAACTCACACAACACAGTAACAAAAAAAAAAGCAATCTAAAAAAAAAACAAAAGGAAGAAGACCTAAGTAGATAGGTCTCCCCATAACACATGCAGATGGTCGACAGGCCCACAAAAAGATGTTCAACATCACTAATTATTATTACACAAATGCAAATCAAAACTACAATGAGGTATCACCTCATACCAGTCAGAATGTCCATCATTAAAAAGTCTACAAATAATAAACATGGGAGAGGCTGTGGAGCAACAGAAAGCCTCTCACACTATTGGCAGGAAAGTAAATTAATGTAGCCATTATAGAAAATAGTATGGAGATTTCCTTAAAAACTAAAAATAGAGTTACCATATGATCCTGCAATTCCACTCCTGAGCATATATCCAGAGAAAACCCTAATGTCTGAAGAGATACATCCACCCCAGTGTTCACTGCAGCACTATTTTAATAGTCAAGACACAGAAGCAACTTAAATGTCCATCAACAGATGAATAGATAAAGATGTGGTATATATATAAAATGAAATATTATTCAGTCATAATATAGAATAAACTAATGTCATAGGTAGCAACACAGATGGACCTAAAGATTATTATCATACTAAACGAAGTCAGACAGACAAAGACAAATACCACATGCTATCACTTATATGTGGAATCTAAAATATGATACAAATGAACTTATTTATGAAAACATAAACAGACTTGCAAACAGAGAAAACAAACATATGGTTACCAAGGGGGAAAAGAAGTGAGGGAGCAATAAATTAGGAGTTTGGGATTTATAGATACACACTGCTATATATAAAATAAACAAGGTCCTACAGTATATGTATAGCACAGACAACTATATTCATTATAACAAACCATAATGGAAAGAATATGAAAAAGAACATATATACACATATATCTATATACCTATATAGATATATTTCTGAATCACTCTGCTATACACCAGAAACACATTGTAAATCAACCATATTTCAATAAGAAATTAAATTTAAAAAATACATCCCAAAACACAATAAAGAAACAAAAGGAAAGATATCTGGGACTACTATCTTGCTTATTAGATATTTATAACATTCTACATTATAGTTTAAGGTAAGAAACTTTAGCTATGTATTCAACTAACATTCTTAAAATCTTTTTTGTTATAGATCATGTTCAAATTTTTTATTTAAATGCCCAGGTTATCATCAGCACGTTGACTTACAAATGGTCAATTTTAATACTGTATATTAAACTCCTCTTGGTTCTAATGATAACACATAAAAAGAGTTAACATTTAAATGAGATGCTACAATAAGTTAACATTTGAAAAAATAGTCAAGTTTGTCTTATACAATATAAAGTAACACAGAGGAACTTACCTGCCCATGACCGGAATGTTGCTATGATTCCCATTTTACTGGCTAGAAACCTTGCTTCTCTGTCTTCTCTGTTGGGTGGGGTGGGGGTAGAGTCAAAGAAATTAAATGTTTAAATAAAAAGTAAGTTTTTCCCTATTACTATATCAGAGTAAGAGTTATCACTACTTAATATTTAAATATTTACACAGGAAATTAAAAATACATTAAAAAAAAAAAGGCAAGATCTACCTCAAAGCAAATTACTCAATTATGTACTGATCATGCCTTCCCACATGTAAAATTCATGTCTTAAAACAAATTATAAATTCTGCTTTCCTGAGTTCTACTTTTCCTGCTCTTCCTGAAAACTATTCAGGAAGCTCATCAACACCTGTAAGCATTAGCAATACCACCAGCTTGCTTAAGAAGCATCTCTGTCAAAAGACTGCCCTTTAGCAAAGAAAATGACCACATAAACCTCTTACTGTTACTGCACGTGTTCTCTTTACTTCAACAATCTTGTCCCAAACTTATCTGAGCAAGCTTATTCTATTTATTCTACCAAGCAAGCTCAACAAGCCATATATTCACTGATCATTATTAAATAATTAGATATTATTACTAATTTACTTCTAAGTTCATTCAGGTTGTTGGCAGAATTCACTCTCTTGCTGTTGTACAACTGAGGTTTTGGTTTTCTGTCAGCTGGGGCCTACTAACAACTACTTTCTTCTTTTATAATTGGTATCCAATCATCTCACTTGTTTCATTCTATGTAATAGTTAATGACAATCAATTAACCAATAGAACTATTTATACTGTCGAACACTGTTCATGTATGGCATATTGCCAGTTTTAATACTTAATTAGCAATCATGTACGTTTATGCTAGCTCAACCATCTCTACCCTGTCAACGGTCCATTTCTTTTCCATGCCGTATTTTTCACTTTTCCAACAAAGTTCTTAATAGTTTGAGAATACAAAAATCCAGGGAGTTGGTAAGAGAAAAAAAACAACATAAAGAATAAAGAACAGTGAAAGAAAATCAAATTAAACAATGGTAGGCAAGCAGTTTATAAAAGTGGAATGAAACAGTTAAAAATCCCCCGCACACATACAGACCAACCACTCTGAGCTCTGCTGCACTAATCAACACGAGACCATAACAGAAACTAAAATGGGGACACAGGGTGGTGGAAGAAATGAGAATTAGATAACTGTGTGACTAAGCTTTTGGTGCTCCTTGTCTTAAAAATGTTTGTGATACACTTGTATTGACTGCCTGGTAACCCATTTTCTAACCTATTCAATAAATTGGTAGTTTTATTGAAAAAAAAACAAAAAACAAAACCCATCCATTTCCTTATACCCTAGCCATAATGTACCCATGCTACAGAAACCGCCCATACTCCAGAAACTTAAAGAAAGCAAAGTATTGAACCAAACAGGAAAGATAGGATTTTGGTGGAATATACTCCCTACCCAACCACAACTCTAAGTACCCTGGTTCATTTCTTACTTATCCTGGTAGACAAAATTCTAAAAATGCCCCTGTCTTCTCAAGACTCCAGGTCTTAATCCCTGGATCCCTATGAATATGGTATCATTACCATGACTGTGATTAAGTTTATATCATATAGCCCAACAGACCTTAAGATACGGAGATCATCTGGTAGGTTGGATCTGGAGAGCTTTCTCTAACTGGAGGGAGAAGAGGGTGTCAGAGAGAGATTCAAAACCCAAAGATTCAAGGAACTTCTGTTGTGTTTGAAGATGGAGAGTGCCATGTGCCAAGAAAAGAAGGTGGCCTTTAGAAACTGAGAGAAGGCCCCAGTTGACAGCAAGAAAATAGGAACTTCAGTTGTACAAGAGCAAAGAATGAATTCTGCCAATAACCTGAGTGACCTCAGAGATAAACTGATTCTTCACTAAAACCTCCAGATAAGAACCATGCCAGACCTCTAACCTACTGATTGTGAACTAATAAACTGATGCTATTTTAAACCATTATATTTATAATGGTTTGTCATCCAGCAATAGAAAATGGATACATTCTTCATCAGTAAGGAGAATGCCCAAGTGTCATAGGGTGCCAAGAAAGAAAGGGGCTGAAGAATCTCAATTCATAACTTAGCAAAAATAAAGTCTGAGAAGTCTTAACTAGAGAACAACTATTCTTAATTTCTTAGCTCAAGAAATGATGTTAGCTAGCATGCAATGTATCCACAGTGATGGAGGTATTTCAAGACATGAAAGCGCTATTTTTAATTCTGGAAAAAAATGAAAAACAACAAAAATATGCCCATTTACAATGTTCCCAAACTTAGTGGAGGAATTTAAAAAACATGTTATCTCTAAACGTATATCTGCAATTCAACAAACCTACTATGCTACACCTGACAGCATATTTATTGGAATTGTGTCATTGGCAAAACTCCACAGATAGTGTATTATTTGACCTCTAAATCAATTTAAATATAATTATTCCAGCATTCCTAGTGAACACGTGCTTTTCTCTCCCAAAAGACTCTGAAAAATCATCCTACTTCGTTTCTGGAAAATAATCTTTATCTCCTTTTATTTCCCTATTAACCTTACTCTCAAAATTCTACATGGCTTACCTTTCTGCATACTCAATTTAAGGCAGCTGTTCATTCTACTCATTATTATTTGATCCTTTTAGTCTTTCAATGTAATTATGTTAAAAATATGTACAATGGTGATGGAGAAGACTCTTGAGAGTCCCTTGGGCAGCAACATCAAACCAGTCAATCCTAAAGGAAATCAAGCCTGAATATTCATTGGAAGGACTGATGCTGAAACTGATGTTCCAATATTTCAGTCACCTGATGCGCAGAGCCGACTCATTGAAAAAGTCCCTGATGCTGGGAAAGACTGAGGGCAGGAGGAGAAGGGGGCAACAGAGCATGAGATGGTTGGGTAGCATCACCAACTCAATGGACATGATGAGTCTGAGCAAACTTCGGGAGACAGTAAAGGACAGGGAAGCCTGGCATGCTGCAGTCCATGGAGTCACAAAGAGTCAGACATGACTTAGTGACTGAACAACAACAAATGTACAACAGAGAAATGATTATAGGTCTAGGTTTCTACTGCCACCTACCTTAGATTTATTAAAATAAGAAACTAATTCCAAGTCTAATTTCCCAAAAGATTACTTTTAATTTTTTAAGCCATAGTTAATTACGAGAGAACTACAATATAACTCCATGAAATAGGAAATTTACTTAAACTCATTTTGCTCTGGCTTGACATACAAATCAGGCAAATCTAAAAGTTTTAACATCAACACACATGGTACTCACTTTAGCTGTCCTTCAGCTGTATCTGGACTATGTCTGTAGTGAAAATCGGTATAGGGTGCTAAAATTCGCTAATAAAAGGAAAAAGCAAGAAAAAGAAAAGAGTCCTTATTATAAAATGCACTCTTCCTCGAACAAGCTAAAATTCATCCAACTTCTCTGTATCTCCAATAATCCCAACTAGAGCTTATTTGAAGAGCCTATTTCTTCAAACTCATCATCAAGGAATATATTTGAGTGATTTCTTTTAATGTACAATTTTTGAATTTTTAAATTGACAGGTACTGTACCTATTAAACAGTGCCTAAATTGCGAATGTGAGGTTTGACAGATTTTTCTCAAACTAAACACACTTACTGTAACTAGCATCCTCAGAGCCTCCTTCTTCTCCTCTTTGTTCTCACCCCAAGATTACTACACAGATTTCTAACACTATGAGTTAGTGTTGTCTATTTTTGAACATTATTTAAATGTCTTTTATAAATTCCATTCTTTTTGTCGCTAGTATGAAGAAATCCAAATTATTTTTGTGTATTGTCCTTTGTATTTAGCGACCTGGTTAATAAGCGCATGTATTTGAGAACTTAAACTACTATAACTCACTTACTTAACCCCCCTGCTCTGCACTGATTATTGTGGTCTGAATTTTATTTTAAAATACTTAAGACATTACAAATACTGCTTTTGACAATAAGTAGTCTTTTATATTTAGTTACATGTGTACATTTTTTGCCACCCTTCATTCTTTGCATTTCCTTGTCTCAGATCATTTTCGTTCTAAGGATTCCCTTTAACCTTCCTCTGTGTCTGTCTCATTTTTTGAACAACAATAAATATTTATTATCTCACATAGTTTCGGTGAGTCAGGACTCTGCAAGAGTTTAGCTGTGCAGCTATGACTCAAGGTCCATCATAATATCGCAGTAAAAATTTTTGTCAGGGCTACAGTCATCTCAAGGCTTGACTAAAGCTGTAGGATCTGCTTCAAAATGGTTCACTCACAACATGGAAATTGTTATCAACAGGGCTGAGCTCCTTCTCATGTGTGCCTCATTATAGGCTGCATTACTGTCTTCATGACATAAAGGCAAGGAATCCAAGAAAGAATAGTATTTGTTTCTTTAGATTTCCTTGGGTCTTTTTACGTTAGTCTAAAAAATCTTTATTTTACCTTTGTTTTTGAAAGACATTTTCTCTGGGGTGCTGCTGCTGCTGCTAAGTCGCTTCAGTCATGTCCGACTCTGTGCGACCCCACAGACGGCAGTCCACTAAGCTCCTCTGCCCGTGGGATTCTCCAGGCAAGAATACTGGAGTGGGTTGCCATCTCCTTCTCCAATGCAGGAAAGTGAAAAGTGAAAGTGAAGTCGCTCAGTCGTGTCCGACTCTTAGCGACCCCATGGACTGCAGGCTACCAGGCTTCTCTGTCCGTGGGATGTTCCAGGCAAGAGTACTGGAGTGGGGTGCCATTGCCTTCTCCTTCTCTGAGGTAAGTGACATTATTTTCTTTTGCACTCTAAAGATGCCATTCTACTGTCTTCTGGTTCTAAAATTTCTGTTGGGAAATCGGCTGTCAGATTTGTTCCTTTGAAAGCAGTCTTTTTTTCTCAAGCTGATTTTAAGATTTTTAGTTATCTTGATTTTCAACTATCTTTTTTTTTTTTCATTTATTTTTATTAGTTGGAGGCTAATTACTTTACATCATTGCAGTGGTTTTTGTCATACATTGAAATGAATTAGCCATGGATTTACATGTATTCCCCATCTACCATGATGTACCTACGAGTTGTTTTCTTTATCTTGAGTTTTCTGAGCTTTATGAAGTTTCACCAGTTTTAAAAACAAAGTTCTGACCACAATTTCCTTGGATATTTGCTTCTGCTCATTCTCTCTCTCTTCTCCAAAGACAATTATGTTTCATCCCTTTTGTTCTGTTCATTTACTTCCTATTACCCACCTGCAAATGCTTTGATCTTTGACTTCTCTTTCAGTTTACTAATGACACCTTCTTGTCCAAAATGAGTTTTTAATTTCATCTAGTTCAGAATTTCAGGTATTATATTTTTTGATGCTAGCTCCATTTGATTTATTTTTCATCTTCCAATTAGATAGTAAAATTCTCCATTATTTCATCTATTTTCTTCTTTTTCTCCATTTTTCTTAATAAGTTAGTCATGGGTGTTTTAAAATCTTTTCCCTCTGGCTCCAATATCTGAATCACCTGTGGATATGCGTCTACGGAATTCCTTTTGAGTTTTCAATTACACAGTCATAACATTTTGCATGTATCCTTTTTCATTTACATAGTCAAATTTCTGACTGAATGATGGACACTGTAAATTTGATTAAACGTTCCAAATGATGTTATCTCCATTAGAAACATCCTTTCCTCTGTAGTCAGGTTAGTTAAAGGGAGTGATTAGCTTATTCTAATCACCAAGTTAAACTGAGACAACACTACAATTCTGTTCAGATTTCAGTGTACCTTTGGTTTTCCTGTTTCTAAAGAATGGACCTCCAAAACTGTAAATAGAGATTTTAGCAAACTTTTTTTTCTCTTCAGCAGTGAGAGACTGGGTATTTTTTCTACATACTTCATAAGTTTTGAACTTAAATCTTTAAGTATGCATCCAGAATTGCTTCAGAACTTGGAACTTGTCAAGAATAGGAAAAAGTTATCAAATTAGAGTGAAAATTTGTAAAAATATAATTAATAAAAATGGAGACAAGATTCTCTTAACAGCAGACTCTAGGATGAAGATAACAATAAAGTAGAAGATAATGATAATTAATGATTTAATATCCAAGGCAATCAGTATTTATTGAATATTAACTATGTGTCAAGTACTAACTAAAACATTTATGTAGATTGGACCAAATATATGTAAAACACTTGGAAACATTACCTAACTTATTATAAGCTTTACAAGAATGCTAGTTGCTATTACTATTACCATTATTATTATAGTATTTATTCTTCACAATAATTAAAGTAAAAACCATGACTTTTATTTTACCTAGTGAAAAATGGATCCAAAAGAGGTTAATAACTTGCCCCACATCATAAAGCTAGTAGGTTAGAGAACAAAAAAATCAAAACCAGATCTGTAAAGCCTGAAGTCTATGCTCTCAATCACTATGCTATACCAGGGGAATCTTGTTCAAGAAAAAAGAACTAACATTTGTAAAAAAACAAGAGAGAAGCAAAGATGGTAGTGTACTTATAAAGTCTACCGTATTCTTTGAGGGTTTTTTCATATACACAAAGGCTTTGCTAATCTGCTGTATGATTATACAGGCTAAAAAAAAAAAAGTCTATACACATCTTTCTTTATTGTGATCATCTCTCCAATCTTAAAAGCAGTTTCCCCACTTGCTAAAGAAAAAACTTAAAGCAAAATACACTATCAAATATCAAAAATACCAGCTCATTCCCACTGGACGCCATGAATAATGTATTTAAAATCATTTATTAAGGAAAAAATTGTACTGAAATTTGTTAACGATACAAGCTAATGTCAATTTTATAGTATCAAAATATTTCTAGTAGCCCTAATAAAACCAGAACTATAACATTTAAGACAAGTTTCATAAAATGATCTAAATAGGCAAAGTAGGGAACAATAAATCTTTCATAATTTGCTTAATTTCACATCCAAATACAAACATAGTAAGCTTACTCTGAATAATATCTGCAATGGACAACAATGTAATATTGAATACATTCACACAAACAAACTATAAGAATACAGTCTGTGGGAATTCTCTGGTGGTTCAGAGGTTAGGACTCTGCCCTCTACTGCTAAGGGCCCAGGTTCAATCCCTGGTCAGAGAACTAAGATCCCACAAGCTACAAGGCAAGGCCAAAAATGATGGGGTTGGGGGTGTGGGGGGAAGAAAGAACACAGTTTGTGATAATTTTATTCCAAACTCCACTACACAGTTTATTATAGAAAAATAGCCTTACTATTTTAGACTAACTGAAAAAACAACACTCAATTAGTAAAAACAAAAAAACTTAGTGTGTTTTTAAAAAGATATTTATTCTATTTCTTTCAATTGTATATGGCCATTAGTTGCCAACAAGTGCTCCCCAAGTTCAGAAAATTTTAGCATGGTTTAATAAATAGTATATATTTAGCAGGAGCTATTCTCAATTAACACACTACAGTCTTTAAAAAGAAATTGTCTTCTTAAATAAACAGTTAAATGTCTATGAAACCTTAACTGTGCTCAAATTTGCTCAGTCAAGTTTTCACAAATAATAAAAAAATGAATAAACTTCACATGTTGATGAAATATTCTTGAGAATTCTTTCAATTCAATCCAAATTGAATGAGTGATAAAATATTGCTGGAATAAGCCAAACTTATTAGTTAATTCAGGTTTAATAATTAATACTGTGCTGCATCTATTAACTTTAAAATTTCAAATAAAATTTCAAAGTAAGAGTACGTATTTAAAGTCATATTTTAAAATTACAAGAGAATATTAAAGTTCCTACCTCTAATTCTACATCAGCTCGTACATACTGTCGGGTCTTTGGATGATTAAGAAGGTGCAAAATTGTAGTTATGAGAGCCTCATTTATTCGACTTAATTGGCAATCAATCACATTTTTCAAGATGGTGTTCAGTCCACCTCGAAGGGCAACCACCTCTGGATTCTGAAGTGCTAAAATAAAAAAGAAAAATGTAACATATTATATAGGGGATAATTCATAAATAATCATAAATCTGGGATTTTATTTTAAAACAGCTTTCTGACTGAAAAAAACTTTCTACTTATTTAAAAGGACACGTGGATAACTTATCTAATAAACTGCTTAGTCGCTCAGTCGTGTCTGACTCTTGTGATCCCATAGACTGTAGCCTTTCAGGCTCCTCTCTCCATGGGATTCTCCAGGCAAAAATACTAGAGTGGGCTGCCATTTCCTTCTCCATACCTAATATGATGATGAACTCATTTAAAGCACACACGTATGTGTGTGTGCATACAAAGAGAACGCCTAATCTCTGAAGTAAGGGAGGAATTTCTGAGCTTAAAATCTAAAGTTAAATTACAAATCAGCTAGATTTGAAACAGATAAAGGGCTAATCTTTCCCCTATATAAAGAACTCCTGGCAATTGACAGGAAAGAACTATTCAGTAAAACATGGTCAAAAATTTTTTTTCTTAGTGTCGCTGAATTGTTTTTTCATATCCTTTGTCCATGAAAAAGAGTCAATAGTTGCTTACCCTTACATATAGAAAACTTCAGAAAGCGTGCTGGGATAATTGAATAAACACTTGAAAAAAACCTGAGTTTTATCAATATCAAACCAGAGTCTATTTCCTGAGAGACTTAAAACTGAAATGTTAACCATGAATTCATTTAAAGCACACATGTGTGTGTGTGTGTGTGTGTGTGTATGTGTGCATACAAAGAGAATGCCTGATCTTTGAAGTGAGGGAGGAATTGACTCTTTTTCATTCTTTTCTCTCCCAATAACCTAGTTTAAGATTTTTTTAAATACATGTGAAAAAAACCTTCCCCTCCATTTCTTATTTATCAAGAACATTCTCATAGTAGTATTTTAATTATTTTGCTTTATGTAGGTATGTGTGTGTTTATATATTTAAAATGTTACTTTCATTTTAAAAATTGCTAAATTTATACATTTTAATGCTCTCAATCTGATTACACTTTATGAGAATTATTTGTTCTTTGAAACAATATTTTAAGACAGAAGTGAACGAGTCTTTTTTGGAGGCAATTAATTCATCAAGTACTTTTATGATTTGTGATCCATCATGTGTTCTACTTTGAGTCAACTGGAAATTAAAATCTTTGAAAATCCATTCATTTCAATAAGAGTTTCAATTATATAAAAAGTTTATGTCATACTTTTCAAAACTCCTATTACATTCTCTTCCTTATCCTATTAACCTTTTCTTTCTCTGACCTTTGCATTTTTCAAACAACAGTATATGTTTTCCTACCTATGTATCTAAAACAATAGTGTCTGTGTATCATTTTCTTCCTCCAATTAACACAGATTAAATTATCTTGTTCACTAAGACTGAAAATCATTATTGCTTTCCTTTTGCTTATCTTAAAACTGACTTTTTTCTTCTTTTTCTATTTCTTGGGTTCACTCACTATTTTCATTAGGTTTTGTATAATTATAAAAGTATCTTCTAATGAAAAGTTAACTTGAGTATATGACTTTCCAGAAATCCCACTTATTGATAGGTAGTCAAGTTTTCATGATTTTTAAAAAATTTCCTTAATCAAATTTCTGATTTTCTTTTTAAACCAACAGGTATCGTGGACAGTATTTTTTAGACTCTCAATTAAAGGCTTGGCTCTTCTGTTCCTTTAAATTGTTATTTATTTATTTATTTAATCTAGAATGAATGTAATCTATACCATTTGGGTGGGGAAAAATATGATCTTCTCTTGTCATTTAAAATTATATTTCTTTGGTTATAAGGGATGTTTAACTTTTAAACTTTTGAACTTTAAAATACTTTGATTAGCCATGCATTTCCTTGAGAATTACTTATTTTTCCTACCGATCTGTATATAAATAAGTTCTTTACCTATCATGTTTGTCATATTTACTTTTTCTTTGTTCTGGCATTGCATGTTTTCTTATCTCCTTATAATAAAATCTACAGCTGATGAAATGTTTGATTTTTTTCGATAATTCAAAACTCCCTTTCCTTACAATTACAAAAATAGTCATCCATTTTTCTCCCCATATTTTCCAAATTCAACTCTTTAATCCCGCATTTAGAATTCTTTTTTTAATGTTAGGGAATTGTTTTTCATTCACATCAAGATACATAGTGTGGTTAACTAATGTCTGAGAATCACACTTTAAGAGATTTTATTCTAATTACTGGAATTTGGACAATTCCTTTATCTTAAATTTCATGATGAGTAAAACTTTTAAAATTTGTAGAATTTAAATGTCTCTTTGAAATCATCTGTTTAAACAGCAAGTCCACTACTTCCCTATCAGGAATGTCCTACTTTTTCATATTCTTATTTTTAACCAACACCTAAAGAATTTGCATTAAAAAATGTTATATATTCTTTCTAAAATACTGTATTTTTATTACTCAAAGAATAATTCTGACCTAGTTCACAGATAATGGCAATGCATGCTCGGACCATTCTGTCTCTTTCTTGAAGTCCATCATTTCCAACTGCTATTAATGAGTTGGCCACAGAGCTAGGAAACAAGGAAGCATTCACAGTAATCATCTGTAACAGGGAAAAATCAGAAAAAGAAATTATTTCCTAATACATTTTTTAAACCTATCTTGTTCAGACAGAGGTGTTTAAGACCACAGAATATTTTTAAGGCCAAGGCATCAATTTTAATCTTCTGCTTCATATGAACATGTGAAAGGGCTAATACAACAGATAGTTCATACAATAAATGTTAATAATCATTACCATGGAAAACAGTGTTGGCTTTTTTCCCATAATAGTCCAGACTATAAATTAGTTGACTAACAAGATATAATCTTTCAGAGACTCTAAGTTCCTCCAGAATAGGAGCTTATTCTAGAGGAGAAAAGGAGCTTTTGTTGTTGTTGTTCAATCGCTAAGTCTTGTCTGACTCTTTGCAACCCTGTGAATTGCAGCATGCCAGGCTCCCCATGAACAGAATGAAATGGCCCAAAAAAAAAAAAAAGCTTAATTCTATTTTAAACAACTTTTCAGCAACCAGACAAACTAAACCAGTGGTGACAATAGCTGTCAACATACTTCTGTACCATTACATTCCTGACCCTTTCTTCATATATAATCACCACTACATCCTATCAATTTACCTCATTAACCCAATTCTTTTCACTTTCAAACTCTGATTTGGGCCCTCATTCTTTCTTATTTTGACTGCAGTAAAATGAAACATAATAATCCCCCATCTCTAACTATCATTTGTTGCTGCACTGAATGGCAAAGTTTAATAATCCATATTCTATTTTTTTTTAAGTCCTCATTTTCTTTCGGATTGTTATGGCGACTGCTCTCAGCTTTTAGAGGCCACCTTTAGATCCTGGTCATGGGGAGCTCACTCATGATTATTTGCTATTTCAGAGTAGGCAGGAATCCCTCCATAATCTATTTCTAATATTTCAAAAACTGTGCTGGAAACATTATAACCCTGGTGATAAAAACTTTTGTTGAATCTCACTTTAAATGAAAAGTTTAATTGGCAATAACATTTGGAATACTGAAAACAGATAACATATATCTTCCATTTGGAAAACAAGGAAAAATTATGTAGTTGTTACTGTTTAATAAATAAAAGACTATTTGTTAGATGAAGCATTTCAAAATAACAGGTCCTTAGAGTGGGAGTAGATGAAAATGTTTTCTTCAGTTTCGGTGGTAATAAATATTGGGGATAATCAACCTGTCCTAGATGTAACTATATCCAGAATTCTTCTGAAAAATAAGACTTGTATCATGACACAATTAGAGGATACAATATAACTAAACTAATATCCAGTTAGGTCTTTTAGAGAGTCAAACGAAAGATCTATGTTGCATAGAGTACTTGTAAATGTATGACAAGGTTCCTATGAAATTACAGAATACTGTTCCATGACATAAAATATACGTGTGCAATAATTTTTCTATAAAAACTTCCACATTTGTTTCTAAACAGTATCTTTCATTAATTTAAAATGTTGGAGAAGAAAGGAAAATGGTATAAGAAACTGATCTTTCTGGGGGAGAAAATTCTCATATTCTATGACTATAATTTGTATTTTAATACTTACTGATCTATCATTACACTTATAAGGACTATAAGACATATGCAACATATTCTAAAAAGAGCTGGCTAGAAGCCAGGCCAACTGGCTTTCAGGGCCAAATCTAACATTAATAAACTGTTACCTTGGGAAATCAATCCTCTTAACGCCTTAGTTTTCTCATTTATAAATGAGGATGCATATGATCTGATGATTTCTAGAATTTCAAATATTAAATTCTAATCTATGAATCTCAAGTGTAGTGTTATAAAATGGGTATCTGTAATTTAAAAGTTTTTACAGATGAAAGCATTCTTATTTTCCAGGAAAAAATATATGCAAAGAAACTCTTAAATTCTGTATAAATTGGAGGATGTTTTTCTTATGAATCAATAAGCAATCAGTGAGGGAAAAGTCATTCAATTTAATATCTGTTGAAATAAAAGTTTAATCATCTCTTGATAGAACAGATATATATATGTAACAAATATAAGATCATAAGTATGTAATAAATTTGTAGAACTGTTATAAAGGAAATTTCAGAAACACTGACTTTTCTAGGGGAAATATTTATAATTTCAGCTAAGACTGTAAGATGAATATAATGTAGAAAGCGGTGGAAATGAAAAGAGGAGGACACAGGCAATGATCATAGCAGTGGTGAAAGGCAGCTTGTCTAAAGCTAATGGCATAATGAGATAGGTCATAACTAGTTGGCCAAAAAGTGAGCTCTGAATGTCAAGATAAGCAGGTTGTGCTTCATACCAAGAGGATTCATGAGCCAGTGCCAGTCTGGAAATTTGGAGAACTGGGTTTTTCACTCTGGTTTAGCCAATATCTTGCTGTGTTTCAAGGGCAAGTGATTCCTTTAACTGAATCCCTTTCAACTATTAAAAAAAAAATCTGTGATATATTAAATTCATGAATGTTGAACGTGAAAGTCGCTCAGTTGTGTCCGACTCTTTGCGACCCCATGGACTATACAGTCCATGGAATTCTCCAGGCCAGAACACTGGAGTGGGTAGCCTTTCCCTTCTCTAGGGGATCTTCCCACCCCAAGAATCAAACCCAGGTCTCTTGCATTACAGGCAGATTCTTTACCAGCTGAGCCACAAGGGAAGCCCAGTAAATTCATACTGCATGAATAAAGAAATGATGTATGAATAATAGCATAATTAGGCAGGAAGTAAGAACTTCCCTAGTGGTTCAGTTGGTAAAGAATCTGCCTGCAATGCAGGAGACCTCCTACAATGCAAGAGACCTGGCTTTGATCCTTGGGTCAGAAGATCCCTGGAGAAGGAAATGGTAACCCACTCCAGTATTCTTGCCTGGGAAATCCCATGGACAGAGTGTCCTGGCAGAGTACAGTCCATGGATTCACAAGAGTCAGATAGGACTTTGCGACTAACCCACCACCAAGAAGAATTTAAATTGGAAAAAGAGCAGTAAGGGCTGCTCAGTGGGAAAATAATAATAGAAAATGAGAGAGGTAAGAATCAGGAAGGATTATCTGGATTAGAGAGAGGAAAAAAAAAAAATTAAACACATTGAAAAAAAAAAAAACCAGCAAACAAAAAAATTCCCTAAATGAATGAAACAGGTGAAAAAGAAGAAAAAGTAACATGGGTATTCTGAATTATTCATAAAGCAAGTTATCCAAAAGCAACAGGTGTTTTTGCTTTTCCTTTAAAATATAAAAGATTAATTGTTTAGTCACTAAATCGTGTCTGACTCTTTGCAACCCCATGGACTACAGCCTGCCAGGTTCCTCTGTCCATTGGATTTCCCAGGCAAGAATACTGGGGTGGGTTGTCATTTCCTTCTCTGGGGATCCTCCCGACCTGGGGACTGAACACAAGTTTCTGGCACTGGCAAGTATATTCTTTACCACTAAGCCACCGGGAAGCATAAAACATTAATACTTTCACTGAAAATTTAAAAACTGTTCTAAATGCATACAAAAAACCCACAGCTGACCTAGCAATTATATTGTTAACATTAATTTCTACTAACTCAGTTGCCAAGATGTTGCTGCAAAAAAGAAATACATGCTTTGTTGAAAGTATTAGTGAAATTATAGTTCCTCTGGCCAATAGAGGCCACTGTTCAGTCAGCAAGCACGCTTTCCCTTTTAAACTAACTGCTTTTAGCTAAACCAAGGAGCCCTGCGACACAACTCTCGCTTTGAGCCTGTTTTTACCACCAGGTACAAGGAATTTTCCTGTCCTTGGATCCACAAATGATACCTGCCTCAAATTACTCTGTTCTTTAAAAGATAACAAAATTATATTTTTGTTATGGCATTACTAAATTGTTTCAAGGGTCTGTTTATTTTTACTGGGCTATTTACAGATTAAATGGTAACTTACACAAAACACTGAACAAAACTGAAAGAAAATACTTAGTTAATAATTCAAAGAAGCTGAATTGAATCCATTTGTGTTTGTTTTTTCACCTGAATGCAGTTTCTAAGGCAGCAACTCTCAAGTTGTGGTACAGAAAACTGACAGTCCCTAGGATATTTTCAGAGATTCTGCAAAGTCAAAACTATTTTCATAGTAATTCAAAAATATTACTTGTCTTTTTTACTCTCACAAGTACATATGGAATTTTTCCAGAGGCTTCAATGCATGTGAAATCACAAGAGATTGGATATAGAAGCAAGCAGGACAATCCAGCTATCTTCTATCAGGACAAACACTACAGAAATTTGTATAAATCTAAAATAATGCCACTCTAGTAATTAATTTTCTTTTTGAAAAAGTTATTTTTATAAAAATGTTATTTTTGTTTACTTATAATGAGTTTATTTTTAATATATTAATATACTTTTAAATTTCTCACTTTAAATTCCTAGTAAGATAAATACTGACATACATAACTCAAATAACCAAAGAGTTATTCCAGGTTTTTCAGAAACATATTTTATTTTTTTATCTTGAATTCTAAAAATTACTGCAGTAGGAAAGACTGTATGAGTAAGTAAGGAACCATGAATCTAATTTTTAAATTTAAATATGAAGAGTCAAATCATGATGCCAACATAACAATTTTTACCCTATAACAAACTTTTTAAGAATCTATCTCCAGTATCACGCTTAACTAGAACTACAAGTTTCTTTGAAGACAACTCATCCATTTGCTTCTTCCTTACTATGCTCACCTGTGGGTACTATTACTAAACATAAGCTGGACAACTGGAAGAAAAAGGAAAAAGAGGGGATCAAGTTAATGCACAAACTCAACATTCTGCAATTCTGGAACATGTGCTGAATTCAAAAGTAGGAAAAGAGGAGAACAGCTAAAAAATGTTAATTGCTAATTTTAGATATTTTTACATTAAAACAAACATATACTGCATGAGTATTACAAATTTTTAAGATGAAACATGATACTTCAGAATAAAAGATTGATAAAATTCTTACATGAGCCATACCCTAACCAAATTAACTCTCAATTCAGTCTATTCCTCTGCCATTGGGCATCACATTAACAATTTAAAAAAACTCTTGGAAAACACCTATCATTAGAAGCACTATGGATTATCCTCAACATCTTCTTTTGCAGAGTTTAGATTTTGACCTTTTACTCTGTATAATGGCCTGGATTCTTTACTGCAACTGTCTACTGATGTATCCAAATTCATCTTCAAAACAACCAGCTGGCAATTCCTTTGACATTCATTTAAATAGAATTAACCACAAGTATATAATTAAGACAAAACGGGGGTGCCACACAAGTAATCCTCTTTCTCCAATAACATATCAGAGCAGTAATTTCTTTGTATGTCTAATAAAGGAAGAAATATTCTTTACAATGGACATTTTATAAAAAAATAACTGTCCCAGCTATACCCAATCACAGAATAATTACACAAAATATCTATGCTTACCTTGAAGTTTAATAGACCTATTTAACTCCTATCATTTCAACAAAATAAAAATGTTTAATGAGAATTCAGTCTTTAAATTTTAATAGATTTCACAAGACAGTCTAAATCTAAAACTGTGAAATGCGTAACATGACAACCGTAAATCTGCCTTTTCTCTCAGACGTGGAGCCTACCTTTCTGACCAATCGAAGTGCTTGCGTCCTCTCTACCTCGTTGCTCTGCTGTATGTCAATGCACCTAAAGAATATATAAGATATTATTGATAAAAATCTTATTAAATTTTTGTATAATACCATGATCAGACAGACCCATTTTCATGTCAATACAGTAGTTTTAAATGTTAATATATTTAATTTTTCAGTACCAGCGGATATTTAATTTAATACCTCCAGTGATAAATACTTGTTATAAATCAAAACTATTTCATTTAAAACTCCAAGGAATAATATAGTAAATAATTTACAGAATTATATAATCTATACAGAAATAAACATATTTAAAAAGCAAAATATCACAAATCTACTGAAAGAGATATTCGCCTATCTCTGATACAAGTTCACAGATATTTTTCAAAAACTGTGAAGGAAAAATATTTCAAGCCTATGTTTTAGTTTACTTGTGATTTTAACTGAAGCCTAAATTTTGCATGTTATGACTACATTAAAAGTCTTACATTATTCATAATAACTCTATTTTACTAAAATATAATTTGAAATGTGAAAGTACTTCAAAAATTAATGCTCAAATATCATTTAACTGACATTTCTCTGTAAAGTTCATTAAATTATTCAATTTCTGAAGAGTTTTGGTTTATGTGGCAGAATAATTCATTCTTACTTATGTTTAGATAGTTCACTGTTCTAATCAATACTTTATATATTGATAAATAGATAACTTGCTATTCAAAAAGCATTTCTGCTATCTGAATATAATTAATCTAAAACAATTTTACCAAAAAGTAAACAGACACAGAATTCTATTTCTGGCCACCAAAGATCTGAACAATCCTCCTGCCAAAGATAACTATAAAGGTTAAATATGTTACTTTATAAAGCAACTGCAAAAAGGGCAATGGATAATAATCCCTGGAAAAAAGCGCAAGCTCCACATTCACTCGGGTTTTGTACCTGGGTACACTTGTCAATTCCCAGTTTTAAGTGAATAGAGTCCTAAAAAAAAAACAAAAATCTTGCTGTACTGTGTAGAGAGACTGAACTCTGGCGCAGCCAAAGTGGCTGGGACTTGAGGGGGAAAAAGTCTCAGAAAAAAGAAAATAGAAGAGTAAGCAAAAATCTGCATGCAATCTTCTTTCCAAGACATTTGACAATTTCTATGTTATGCAAATGCAGGGTTAAAGTCCAAAAAACCAAGCAAAAAGCTACAGCTGAGCAGCCAAAGAACTGAGCAGAAATTTTAGCAGGTATATAATACTGTAAGAAAGCTGTTAGGGCTCAAGGCTGATCAAGATGAAGAGGTCCTGCTAAACATTCACATTTTCACTTGAGATTCTCAATAGACACTTCCTAGCCAAGGCAAGGGAAAAAACAAATTTTAACAGAATCAGTGTAATAAATCAACACTCCAGAATAAAGCATAAGTCTATAAAAACATGATCCAAGAGCCAAACCCTTTTAATATACAACGTTCACATCCAATCACGTAATAATATGAAAGATGTTTTAAGACAATAAAAAAAAAGAGGTCAAGTAGCCAAAATCCAAGAAAATAACACCAGAAGCAAAACTCAAGTGATTCACATATTGGAATTGTTTTAAGAGATCTACAAATAACTATGACTATTATGTCCAAGAAAATAAATAAAGCAGAGATATAGAATGTTTAAGTAAGAGTAAAATATAAATCACAGAAATATAGTAACTGAAATTCAAAATTCAAGAGACTGATTTACTAACACAATGGAAGGGAAAAAAAAGCACAGGTTAGTAGAAAGCACAAAGGTTAACAACAACAAACACTGAAAATAATGTTACAGTAAGGGCATCAGAGACATGTGGGACAGTGTAGATTCAACAATGTATAGCTGGAGTATCAGGGGATAGGAGAGAAAAGTAACAGAAAAGTCTTTAAAGTAGCCAAAGGAGAAAAAGACATTATCACTTAAAAGAAGCAACAAGAGAAACTACTTACTTAGAAACAAAATCCAGAACACAGTAACTTAAAGCACTGAAAAATAGTAACTGATCAAAAAAAAATAGCCTTCAAGTGGGAATGTAAATAGAGGATTTATAGACAAAATATGAAAGATTTCAACTCAGTATACCTAAACTACAAGAAAACAGTAATGGGAATTCAAGAAAGTGACCCAAGATAAAAGTGTAGAAATGCAAGAAGGAAGAATACGGGAATGAGTAAGTAACATAGGTAAATATCAAGAGTTCCAATTTAACACAATTAACAGGACTGTCCTGTGGGTTTACAAATATATAGAGAAATAAAAATGTAACATGACAAAAGACAAGAGAAGAGGTTATATGGTCAAACTGTAAGAGGTTCTGGCTGTAATAAAAGTGGTAAACCTTAATATACCAAGGATAAATGTAATCTCTAGGGCAACTGCTAAAGAAGAAAAGGCTTTAAAGCCAATACATTAATAGAAGAGGAAAAAAAAAAATATCTTGACTTTTCCCCAAAGAAGCAAAAAAGGACAAACGCAAGACCAAAGAATAAATGTTACAAGCAGAATATGAACAGCAAGATAGCAAAGTCAAATATATGTGAAAAATAATAGCAAGATGACAAACTCATAAACATAATTACATTAGATAAAGCCCATAGACCCTGCATATGAAAAACCACTAGACATAGTCTAAATATGCCAATCAAGACAAAAATGGTCAAATTAAATTTTTAAAAAATATTTATGATGTTAACAGGAGAGAAACTGAAATTTTTAAGAAAAAGAAAAACAAAGTGAAAGGACAAAAAAGGATATATTGTGCAAACCCTAAATAAAAGAAATAAAAAGAAAGTTAGTATACCTATCTTAGTATCAGATAACAAGAACACTCATAAAAGAAGTATTACTAGAAATAGACACATTTTTGTAACTATAAAACAATTAGCTCAATGAGAAGGTTTAACAATTCTAAATATGAATGCAATAACAAAGCTTCAAAATATATAAGGAACTGACAGAGGAAGTAGAAAATCTGAATAGTATTATGCCAGTAAACAAATAAAAAAACTGACTTCATAGTATTAAAACTTCCTTAAAAATAAAAAACCACAGGCCCAGAAAGATTCACTGGTGAATTCTACTGATAATGTACGGTAAAAAACAGTATATTAGATAAGTTTTTATAAAAATTCTTCCAGAGAATATAAAGAGAGAAATATTTCAAAAGTTGTTTTATAAACATACTCTTGATACCAAGATCAAACAAGATTAGAAAAATGGAAAAAATAGGCCAATACCTCTCATAAGCATAATTGCAAACATTTTTCCACAAACTATTAGCAAATCAAATACAATTAAAAATAAAAAGACATAATGAGCAAATGGTGTTTACCTCAGGAATGCAAACAAGGAACATAAAGAAATCCACTAAAAATCTACATCAAGTATCATAAACAATGGCAAAAGCCAAACAATTTCAACTTGAGTTCAGGAGCAAAACAAGTATCCAATTACCATTTCTAGTCAGTGCAATATTCTAACCAGCACAATAAGGAGGAAAAGAAAAACCTAAGAATTGGAAAGAAAGAAACAAAATGGTCATCAATTGCAACTAATACTAATGTACATAGAAACTCTAATAAAATAACCTTAACAATTAGAATTAAAAAATGAATTTAGCAAGATCACTGAGGTAAGAAAGAATATACAAAAAGAAAGCCCTACAATTATTTTTCCATATGTTAGCAGGGAGAACTATGAAAAAATTTTTTTAATTACATTAACACTATCATGCAATAAATGCCTTAGGATAAACCTAACAAATGTGTGCAAGACCTCTGCTAGAAAACTACAAAATGTTGAGAGAATTTAAAGTTCCAAATAAATAAACATTGAGAAGATTTGATATTAAAATGTCAATTCACCCCAAATTTATCCAGAGCTTCAATGCAATTACTATTAATACCTAGGAAAGTTTGACAGAAATGGACAAGCTGATTCTAAAATTCTTGTGGAAATAAAGAACTCAAAATAACCCAGAAACTTCTTTCCTCAAGGAGGACTTACACTAACAGATAACAACTTACTGTCAAGCTACAGACACTTAAAACTGGGAGAAAATAGAACTAGAACAGACAAACAGGCCAAATAAAGAACACAGGGAAAGCAAAAATAGATCCATACTTACCAATTATCTGACTTACAACAAAAATGAAACTAATTTAGAACACAAAAATCTTTTCACTAAATGCCTCTAATATTTATTGGATATTGATAAAAATGAATCATGACCTGACGATTATTTCAACATATAAGGAGTAAACTCTTCAGAAGAGATCAAAGAGACCTCTCTTCCAAAGAAGACCAAACTCATTAACCATAAAATAAAAGACTGCTATATTGGATTTTATTAATTAAGAAGAGTAAGAAGACAAAGTAAACCAACTAGGAGAGGACATTCTCAATTAGTATACTCCAAAGGAATCATATCCAGAAGATATCAAGAACTCATACACAAAAAGATAGACAATCCAATTTACAAATGAGCAAAAAACAAATAGGATATCCCAACAGTCAACAGGCAAATGAAAGGGAAATGGAAATTAAAAGCACAATGAAACTCACAATGAAAACCACAGCAAAAAACATATAATTAAAAACTGAAAACAGTAAATGCTGGTAAGAATATGGAGAGACTAGAACACTCAAGTATTTCTGACAGGAATGGAAATCAGTACAACCACTTTGGAAAACTGCATGGCAGTGAAGGTGAAAGTGAAGTCACTCAGTCGTATCTCTTTGCGACCCCACGGACTGTAGCCCACCAAGCTCCTCCATCCATGGGGTTTTCCAGGCAAGAGTGCTGGAGTGGGTTGCCATTTCCTTCTCCAGAGGATCTTCCTGACCCAGGGATAGAACCCGGGTTTCCCACTTTGTAGGCAGACGCTTTACTGTCTGAGCTGCAATGGAACTTATTACTAAAGTTAAATACGCATAAAAACTTTTCACCCAGCAATTCCACTCCTACATATGTACCTAAAACAAATAAGCGCACAATATCCACCAACAACTTGTCCAACAAAGTTCAGGGCAGCTTTATTCAAAATAGTCAAACACTGAAAACAACCAAGAAAAAAAAATCAACAGAATAAATAAGTTATACTCTATTTATAACATGAAATACTACATGGAATTTTTTTTTTAAATCAACATGGATAAATCTCACAGATAACACTAAGGAAAGAAAAGAGTAACATGTACTTCCAATATATAATACTCAAAAATAAGAAAATCTAGTCTAAAATGAGAACAGTCAGAGCAATGTTTACTACTGATTGGGGGACACAAGAGAACTTGATTGGGATACTGAAAATGTGCCATATCTTATATGGGATAATAGAGTACTTGGTTGTACCTATTACAGGCTTTACACTAAAAGCCTGTAAAATTACAGGCTTTTCACAAAAAATCTGTGTACTTTATGATAGGTATGCTAAAACCTAATATATGATTTAAAAAACATATAAAAAATGGAAATAGAACTGCCATATGACCCAGCAATCCTACTGCTGGGCATACACACCAAGGAAACCAGAATTGAAAGAGACACATGTACCCCAGTGTTCACTGCAGCACTGTTTATAATATCCAGGACATGGAAGCAACCTAGATGTCCATCAGCAGACAAATGGATATGAAAGCTGTGGTACATTTACACAATGGAGTATTACTCAGCCATTAAAAAGAATACATCTGAATCAGTTCTAAGGAGGTGGATGAAACTGGAGCCATATAGTGAAGTAAGCCAGAAAGAAAAACACCAATACAGTATCCTAACGCATATGGAATTTAGAAAGATGGTAACGATAACCCTGTATGCCAGAGACAGAGATATATATAGAACAGTCTTTTGGACTCTGTGGGAGAGGGCGAGGGTGGGATGGTTTGGGAGAATGGCATTGAAACATGCATATTTAAAAAATAAAAATAAATAAAAAACATATAAAAAGAGGGCTCTAAGAAAATTACCTAGCTATTAAATAGTCCACTTTCAATTTTAGCACCTTCTGCAGAATACTGGAGTCTTGGATGAGATACCGAAGAGCTCGAAGTCCTGCTGCCCGCACTTCTTTTGCTTCATTCAATAAAGCTAACCGCAAGCTGTATGAAAACAAAAAGTCATGCTACATGAGTTTCAAATACACACAAAATTGTGGTATCAAATACTTCCTCAGCTGAAATAAGCAAAGCTACTCGTCATTTTACATATATAAAAATTATTCACTGTTAAGCCATGGCACTTCACTAATGCTGTTTTTTAATTTGTGCCTCTTTGGTATATTCCTACCTTCTGTAGTTTATAAAAACAAAGGGAAATTATATATGCCTTTTTCATGCTGTATCACATATGCCTCTACAATCTATCACTCTCTATTCACCTACCTGTTTCACTTGTTTCAAAGAATCATTGGTTTAAGCCAATAAATAAAAATGCTTTATAATGACAGTAGGAAGAGACTATTTATACCAATTTTAATTCCTAAGCATACCAAAAAGATGGCTATGAAACTGCAACACTGCCTTTCTTGGTAGGCTTGAGCAAATCAGGTTTGCCATAAGCACATGTTGTCTTAGGTGAGATGTAGAGATAATCATACAGGTTCTTCTTGCTCTTGGGAATAACATGAGAACTTTTACTCTGTGTTTAATTTAGAAGTTAAGACTGTAGAAGTCCAGGTACTTTTCAACATTAGTTTTGATTTTTGTATTTGAAAATTACAGAATACCAATAAGAACAATAGGATAACAGTTAAAAATGTTAAAAATGTTGGAGATCCTAAATTTTTCTAACATTCACACAACTCTTTCTATAAAATCAATACAAGGTGCTACAGTAACCTATTTTTAGTTTAAAATTACTAAAACTGAAATTACTAAAATTCAGAAGGTATGAAAAGGGAACTGAACTATACTTACCAAATTATGATATCCTCATAGTTAAAACCCAGTTTTTCTTCACTGTGGCCAATATCACAAAGCAGCTGTCAGAAAAACAAAATAAGTATACAAAAATGCAGTATGTTTTTGCCTACTTATACACATTACTTTTTCATACAGGAAAATAAGATCTTTGTCTTTAATAAAATTTTTAAAAATATATGTATGATTCAACTGTCAAAATATGAATATTTATATCTATCATCTAATTGTTTTTCTGACTTGACAGTTCTAGATTTCGTGACTTTGTTTGAAAACTAAACAATTATTTTTTATTATTCTTCCCCCCCTTCATACTTCTACTGTTTTTAAAACTATTCTTTCAGTGGTTACCACTGAGATTACAACATGCATTTTTAGAAATTACTATAGTCTAACAGAAATTACTAGTTTACCATGTCCTCAATAAAAACTCTTTAAACACTTCATTTCCATTTATTCCTCTCACCTTTCCCTTTGTTTTTGTTTTTTCTACCTATCTTTTAAACCCTATAAAGTTACTTTTGTTTTCAGTTAGTTCCAATTATCAATTTATATTTACTCTCAAATTCACAGCTTTTCCATTATCCTTCACTCCAGTGATACCTTTATGGGGTCTTCTCTCTTCTCCATAAGGAACCTTCAGTTCATTGTTGTTGATCTGTTTTACTGGTGACTTTATTTGTTTTATAGTCAAGGTTGCTGGTAATGAATTCAAAGCAATTTCAAGATGGCTTCCATTGTTTGTTGAGAAGTCTGATATCAGTCTTATTACTAGCTCCTAAGAAGGTTATATTCTTTTTTTTCAGACTCCATTCAAGATATTGTTCTCTCTTTTGATTTTTGCATTCTAACTGTTCAAGTGTGGTTTTATCTGTATCCCTGCTTAGGGAAAACATAAATTTCTGAATCTCTAGGTTGATATATTTTATCAATTTTAAAAAACTCTGCATATCTTCAAAATTACTTTTGGCCAATTCTCTCTCCCCTTTTTCTGATAATCCAAATGTTTGAAAATTTTTTTGGTATAGCACAAATCTCTAAGCCCTTGTTTTCTGTTTTCTCCTTTATCTTTTATTTCTTTCCTTTAGCTGGGTATTTTCTATTATCTTGTCTTCTGATATGTCTAATCCTCTATTATACCTATCCAATGAGTTTTTAACTTGACATAATGTGTTTCCATTTGCTTTGTACACATCCAATATCATAATAAAAAATCATTTTTCACCTATTTTCTCCAGTTTGCTCTATGTTCTTGATATATTAACCACACTTTAAATATCATCTAAATGGATATGAATGACGTAGATAATCTCTGAGTCTGTTTTTATTATTCGTTTTTCCTTTTGTTCTGGTCATGCAGTCCTATCTTGGTGGATTCTATAACCTTTGTACATAAAAACTTGCAGAGATTCCTGATGACATCTTTCTCCACAAGGGGTTCACCCTTCTCTCTCTTCATGAGGCCAATGGACAACAGCAAGTCCAGATTAGGCTGCTGCCCTGCTAAGACTGAGTCATCCTCTGGTTTTTCCTTTCATCCCTTCCTTCCCCCAGGTTTCAACTAAAAGTTTGTTGTTCATGAGACCAATCTCAGGAGAATGACACATCTCATTTTTGCTTTACAAAAACATTAGGAGCTCCACCTTGATTTTCAAAGGTTTTCTACTTAGGATTTTAAGTTTCCCATCCCAGGATTCAACATATGTACTGAGGAAAGAATCTCCTTTACTTGATTTCCATAGGTATCCATCAAAAGCTCTGTGCTATTTTTTCCATCTTTCAGCAATAGTACTCCTGGGACTAAAGTATGATTTTTAGATTCCTGTCCACATTCCACATTAGTCAGTACTTCCCAGGTAAATATTGTTGGAGAAGTTAGCTCACTTCCACAAGATTCTTCTCTGAAGTCTTGGTTCCTACACCACTTACACTGAGTAACTGCCTGATGCCTTCACACAAGCTCTCCTGGTTTTTGATCCAGTCTGTTTTGAAAATTTATCTAAAAGCTATATGCATACATGCTAAGTCACTTCAATCATGTCCAACTTTTTGCAACCCTATGTACTGTAGGATGCCAGGCTCCTCTATCCATGGGATTTTCCAGGCAAGAATACTGGAGTAGGTTGCCATTTTCTTCTCCCAGGGATCTTCCCTAACAGGGGATGGAACCCGTGTCTCTTATGTCTCCTGCCTTGGCAAGCAGATTCTTTACCATTAGCGCCACCTGGGAAGTCCCATAAAGTTTCTCAAGTTATTTACTGGACCTAACTGAAAAGAATTAAAAAGAATATCAATCATTTAAGTAACGTGAAGTATCAGAAAGGTCTTCAAGTGCTACTGTTAATCTTCCTAAGTACGAAGTTACAAGGACTTCCCTGGTGGCTCAGATGGTAAAGAATCTGCCTGTAATTCAGGAGACCTGGGTTTGACCCCTCAGTAGGGAAGATCTGCCAGGAGAAGGGAATGGCAACCCACTCCAGTATTCTTGGCTGGAAAACTCCATTGACAGAGGCACCTGACATGCTACAGTCGATAGGGTCACAAAGAGTCAGTCACACAACTAACACACACACACACACACACACACATGAAGTTACAAACATCTTATTTAACCAAACAGAAAAAACCAAAGTGACCAACACAACTGCCTCTGTGAAAAGCACAATACTGCAGCAAACAAAACCTAATGATATAAATTCACTATCCTACTGGTAGGATCCTTGTAAAATTTCCTGTCCAATTTCCTCTTCAGAGACAAAAAACAAAACAAAAACAAAAAGAGATTTGCAAATAGAACAGGGCCTGGGCCAGAAAGAGGGGAGCGTGGTGAGGAGCAGAGAATAGACTGTGTGTCCACAGGGCTGCTGCGAGGTGATCCTGGCTTTCTGAGTGTGGGTGGCAGCCACGTGGCCGGCCCCCAGACCCAATCCGGAGATCCAGGGCCCACCCACTTCTGCTCCACACCACTTCCCACTGCCCAGAGGTGGGGGGCTTCCCTTCTCATCACTCCTGGTGGCTGTCTGCATCAAGACATCATGGAGAGCTGGCACCTGTGTTTACAGAGGGAGGCATAAGGTGGATGTGCCAGGTGAGGCATTCAAAGGGACCCTGGCTTTGGGGAGGCAGTTCTGGGAACCCAGGTCTACTGGCTCTAGGCCAGGAAACCTTAAACTTTGGCCTGCTTGGTCAGGATGCCTGTCCTCCAGGAGATGTGGCCTTGGAGCCATGTGTAGAGCTAGAGTGCCTGGGTGAGTGTCTGCTTCTGCAGCCAAGACTGTCCTAAGAGTGCCTACTTTTGTAGATAGCACTGTGGTTTCAGAGGTGTACCCATGTGGCACTAGTAGTAAAAAACCTGCCTGCCAATGGAGGAGGCATAAAAGATGGGGGTTTGATCCCTGGGTGGGAAAGATCTACTGGAGGAGGAAATGGCAACCCATTCCAGTATTCTTGTCTGGAGAATCCCATGGACAGAGGAGCCTGGCAAGCTGAAGTCCATAGGGTCACAGAATCTGACACAACTGAAGTGACAACAAACAGGGGATCAGTTCAGTTCAGTTCAGTCGCTCAGTTGTGTCCAACTCTTTGAGACCCCATGAACTGCAGCACGCCAGGCCTCCCTGTCCATCACCAATTCCTGGAGTTTACCCAAACTCATGTCCATGGTGATGCCATCCAACCATCTCATCCTCTGTCATCCCCTTCTCCTCCCACCCTCAATCTTTCCCAGCATCAGGGTCTTTTCAAATGAGTTGGTTCTTAACATCAAGTGGCCAAAGTACTGGAGTTTCAGCTTCAACATCAGTCCTTCCAAGGAATATTCAGGACTCATTTCCTTTAGGATGGACTGGTTGGATCTCCTTGCAGCCTGAGGGACTCTCAAGAGTCTTCTCCAACACCACAGTTCAAAAGCATCAATACTTCGGCATTCAGCTTTCTTTATAGTCCAACTCTCACATTCATATATGACTACTGGAAAAACCATATCCTTGACTAGATGACCTTTATGTTTAGGAATACAGGAACCTTAGATACTGTTTTCACTGCAGGGAGAGACTATAAAAATGATCAGTTTATGTGGTAGGAAAATGCTATATAAATAGGTAAATAGCAAAACAAGCTAAAAAAGCTTTCCTTCACAGGGCTCTATCCAAAATGATTATATTGGTATTCCTATAAAATTCTTAAAAAGTCTGAAATATGATAAACAAAGCTTTAAAGGATCAAAGAGTATGAAAAATTTATTGTTTTTATTGTGTTCTGCTGTATCATATTTTAAGTACTTTAATACTGAGAAGGATGAGACTTTTTACACATCCATATAGATTTAAAATAAGAATGTAAGATTTCCTAAGCTTTGGGACAAGAGAGGAAATTTTCCATACCTCTAAAAAAGCAATGGCATACCTAAAATTAAAAGTTAAATAATACATTATGCTATGTCCTAAGTCATTTCAGTTGTGTCCGACTCTTTGCGACCATGGCCTGTAGCCTGGCAGGTACCTCTGTCCATGGGATTTTCCAGGCAAGAGTACTCCAGTGGGTTGCCATTTCCTTCTCCAGGGAATCTTCCCGACCCAGGGATCAAAACCAAGTCTCTTATGTCTCCTGCATTGACAGGTGGGTTCTTTACCACTAGTGCCACCTGGGAAGTCAATATTACTAGCAAATAATATATTAGTCAAAAATATTTATAAAAACATGACAGGCAAAAAGGTTTAGGCCCTATATTAGTTTGCTAGGGCTGCTGTAACAAATAAGCAAATTGGGTGGTTTATACAAATAAATTTACTTTCTCATGATTCTGGAGGCTAAAAGTTCAATATCAAAGTGTCTTGATAGAGTTTTTTATTCTTAGGGCCTCACTCCTTGGCTGGCAGATGGCTATCATCTATCTGCATTGGCACATGATCTTTCCTCTGTGTATGCTGTGTCTTTATCTTATCCGTTCACCAATCACACTGGATTAGGGACCACCCATAGGATTTCATTTCACCTTAATTACCTCTTTAATGGACCAAGCTCCAAATGTAGACACATTCTGAGGTACTGGGAGTTAGAACTT